GCGACAACGCCCCTATACGAACTGCGATCCTTCTCGCCGCAGGCCCCTTTGACTGTTCGGGATCATACCAAGGTCTATGCAAAGCAGCGCGTGAACTACCATGGCATTCCCGGAGACGTCAACGAGATGTTCTTGGTTTTCGAGGCCTGTCTTCAAGTTGGACGTCTTGAGCGAGCTGCTCAGGTTCTCAAGCGGCTTGCCAACCTGGACGTTGTGCCACCAGCCGACTATTTGGATCTCTTCAACCAGTATCTCGATGCCAAGGTTTCTCAGCTCCTGCAAGAGCCTGATGTAGACAAGGCCGATGACATTCACAAGGCCTTTGAGACTATGGTTAGCGACGGCAGAGAGCTTCCTGTTGGTGGTGAGACCGTTGCCTTGCTTCTCAAGGCATCTCTCACCTCCACGGATCCAGAGACAATGCAGCGTTACGTTACAAGATATCTCAGCCTGCTTCCCACACAAACCGCCCTCGAGACTGTCTTCAACACCGAAATCTTGACATACGAGGAATTAACAAAGGTTGCTGAGCTCTGCCCCAAGTACAATATGCCCGACAACGTGGATCCCGATACCTTTGCGCAGCAACAGCAGCAACAGCAGCAGCAACAGGAGCAACAACAGCAACAGGACACATCTATCGACCAATCGGAGGTTTCAATCGAGCCCTTGCTCACTTCAAGCGAACCTTCTGCAATCCCCCAAGTTCTTGGTACTCCCCAAAAGGGTTTCGGTCTGCAGTTCGTCAAGCGAACAGTCAGCATGTTCAAGGACATACCGGATGGTTTCGACATCTCGACATTGCCTATTTCCCAGCAGAGGGAGATCCAGTCCAAGTTGGAAAAGGACTGCGTTGACGCATCCTTGGCACGCTGGCGAGAGGAGAACGAGTCGCTTCAAAAAATGGGCCTAAATACATCCCTCGATACTCCATCACTCAATTCGAGGCTCTACCAGTGGCAGAAAGATCTTGAAACTCGTCTGCGCACGATGCTTGTGGAGGTGGAAAAGTCTGAGATGGTGAGCAAGAAAAACAAGGATGACCTGGACCGCTGCATTTACGGCCCCTTTATAAGGCAATCCAACCCTGAGCGCCTGGCTGCGGTCACCATCATCAGTACACTCAGCTCGCTCGCCATGGGCGGTGCCCACAAGGGCTCCACGATCGCATCTCTCATCACTCACATCGCCAAATTCGCCGAGGAGGACATCAGGGTACAAAAGGCTGAAGCCCTGATCAGCAAGCACAACCTCCGAAAGGCCAAGTCCAAACAGCACAACCCCCGCTCGGTTTTGCGATTCAAGAACTCGACTGCTTCTGCTGGCTCCAGTGATATGGCCGACTCGAACAACGTCGCCGTTGAGATGGACGACGAGGCCTGGACGACTACGATTCGCACAAAGGTCGGCGCCGCTCTTTTGTCCGCCCTTCTTGACACGGCAAAGATCACGCTTGTCCGCGAGGATCCTGTGACCAAAACCCTTATCACGCAGAACCAGCCCGCTTTCTCCCACGTTATGCAACTAAGGAAAGGCAAGAAGATCGGAACCATCATTCCCAACAAGGCCGTCGTCGAGCTATTGGTTCGGGAACCCGTGCCGGACTTTCTTGCTCGCCATCTTCCCATGGTCACCCCGCCGGATCCCTGGGTATCCTTTGAGAAGGGTGCCTATCTCGAGACCAAGACACCTGTACTTCGGTTGAAGAACGGTGAGAGGGAGCAGAGACTCTACACCGAGGCTGCAATTGCTCGCGGTGATATGGATCAGGTCTTCAAAGGCCTCGATGTCTTGGGCAAGACAGGTTGGAAGATCAATTCTCCAGTCTTCAAGGTCATGCTGGACGTCTGGAATTCGGGCAAGAAGGTCGCAAACATCCCTCCTCTTGACCCCATCTTTGACCTACCCCCCGAGCCGGCATCCACCGAAGACCCGACCGTCAAGCGTGCGTGGCTCAAGGAGATCAAGGTCATCGAAAACGAGAGATCGGGTTTGCATTCGCAGCGATGCTTCATGAACTTCCAGCTTGAGATCGCCAGGGCATACCGAGATCAGACATTCTACTTCCCACACAATGTTGATTTCCGTGGACGTGCCTATCCTATTCCCCCTTATCTGAATCATATGGGGGCTGACCATGTCCGTGGCTTGATGCTTTTCGCCAAGGGTAAGCCTTTGGGAGAGAGCGGCTTGCGTTGGCTCAAGGTTCACCTGGCCAACGTTTACGGCTTCGACAAGGCTAGTCTGCAGGAACGTCAAGACTTTGCCGATGAAAATATCGAGAACATTCGTGACTCGGTAATTAACCCGTTGAACGGAAACCAGTGGTGGTTGCAGGCCGAGGACCCATGGCAATGTCTTGCTACGTGCTTTGAGCTCGCGGCAGCACTTGAATTGGAGGATCCCACACAATATGTATCCCATCTCCCGATACACCAAGACGGAACCTGCAACGGACTGCAGCATTACGCCGCTCTCGGTGGTGATACGTGGGGTGCACAGCAAGTCAACCTGGTTCCCGGAGACCGTCCTGCCGATGTGTACTCGGCTGTTGCCAAGCTGGTCATTAAAGGTATTGAGGACGATCTTGCCAAGGATAATGAGTTTGCCAAGGCCATGCATGGGAAGATCACACGCAAGGTGGTGAAGCAAACGGTCATGACCAATGTATACGGCGTGACATATGTTGGCGCAAAGAAACAGGTCCTAAAGCAAATCGAGGCGGCATACCCAAACATCACGGCTGAGTCGGGCATCGAAGCCGCTCTCCTAGCCTCGTATGTGACACAGCATATTTTCAGGGCAATGTCCACCATGTTCAAGGGCGCTCACGACATCCAGAACTGGCTTGGAGAGATTGGTGGACGTGTCTGCCGCGCCTTGACGCCCGAGCAGCTGGATGAGTTTGAGAGGTCAGAACGGTCTCCTCATGGAGATGGCACAGCAAGCGGTGAGAATATAACGCTCGCCGGGAACCCCAGAAAGTCCTCTGCCCACAAGAATGACGAGATCCTCAACAATTTCCAGTCAACCATCATCTGGACAACACCCTTGCGGATGCCGGTCGTTCAGCCATACAGGAAGCACGGGACCAAGACTGTCTCGACCTGCATGCAGGATCTTGTCATGACGATCCCAGAGAGGTCCGATCCCGTCAACAGGAGGAAACAGCTACAGGCTTTCCCGCCCAACTTCATTCACTCGCTTGATGCCAGTCACATGATTCTGTCAGCGCTACACTGCGACGAACTGGGACTTACCTTTGCCGCTGTCCATGACTCGTTCTGGACTCATGCTTCTGATGTAGACTCCATGAATGCCGTCCTTCGTGATGCTTTCATTCGTATCCACAGTGAGGATGTCATTGGCCGGTTAGCTGCCGAGTTCCAGGCTCGGTACAAGAACTCGCTTTACCTCGCAAAGATTGAGACGGGCACAAAGGTGGCCCAGGAGATCCAGCGGTGGCGCGTCAGGAATAAGCTCGGCCCTAGGAAGGAGCTGCTTTTGGAGAAGGAACGCCAAGAGCTTCTTCGCTCATCAAACCCCGAAGACGTCGAGAGGGGCAAGAAGATAATCTCGCCGGCCAGTCTCTACGAACTGTATTCCAGCGCTGAGGATCTCACCGTCCCCGAGGACCTGAAAGAGGTTACTATTGGCAACCTCGCGGGTGTTGAAGAGAAGAAGGTTCGCAGAGGACGGGAAATGGATGAGGAGGGACAAGTAGATGGCAGTGAGGAGGCCGTCGAGCACGAGGATGGGATGCACGAAGATGAGATGCTGGCCGACGAGCCTAGGGACATGGACGGCGGTTCGGGGCTTGACGAACTGAGGAACACCAACCACTTCGCCCTCTCACAAAAGCGCGCCAAGGCCTCGATCGCATCTGGTGGCAAGCAGAAGCACTATCTTGACATCTGGCTTCCATTGGTCTTCCCACCAATTCCGGAGAAGGGTGACTTCGATGTCCGGTCTTTGAAAGACAGCACGTACTTCTTCTCCTAAACCTGAGGGTTGAAGTATTGCCTGTCTCCTATCAGTCCTTGTGTATATATATAGAGCGGAGGTCTTCGGAGCAAGGGAGGAAGATGTTCGATATCCAAAAGCGATCCATGGGCTGGCGTTCTGGAGTACCTTCTGTAAATAGATCTTGACGCATATGATGTTGGTGGCATTTTGGGCGTTGGCGAAGAGAAAATAAACTGGGCCGGATATGTAAAGGAGGATGGATACAGAGTGGTTGATGGGGGAAGTTGGCTTTTCGTGTAGATCACTATCGTTAACATTGATTGGTTTTCTGAGCATATCATAACAACTCTTCTCATGGTATCCGGATTATATGATGCACACCGACTACGTATCTACGACTCGGGTATATGTATTTGGCATAGCAGTGGATCGATATCCAAATCACATCAATTCACAGTAATTTCCCCTTCAACGCCCCTTACCACCTCCGCAACAAACCTCATCATCCTTGAAAACCTCCTCCCTCATTCTATTCCCACTGTCACTCCCATTCCCACTCCCTTCACAGCCCGTCGGCACCACGCACCCAGTAACACATGTCGGACACGACTTCGTCACCAACACCGTCGGCGTAGTCAGACAGCAAAGTACTTGGTGTCGAATTTGGCTGAATTTTTGCATAGTGGAAGATTTACCTGTCGGTGATATTTTTTTGTGGACGCTATCGCGGAAGAAAGATATACATGTCATTGTTTACATTTCTGCATATCCCAGAACTTCAGGCTTGAAATGCTCAATCTCCACCTAGTTGATTAGCTGATCTCTCTGGCTCTCGGGAGCCCGTAGATGTCACAATGTTGGAGACAGTTTGTTATGTTAAGAGTGGAATGAGGTCCAAGTTTTCAGATGGCAAGGTGAAGGATTATAAAGGAAATATTATGCCTGGAACTTTCCATTCATTCATTCGATTCTCTCATCAAAAGCTATTTTTTTTTTTATTTTTTATTTTTTTTTAAATCGCCTCATAACAACTTTTACCTAACCTGGGCGCCAGCCAAGGTAGGAACAGTGCAGACACCACCGCTGGCGGTCACCAGCTTAGCAATGCCGCTCTTGCCCTCCAAATCCTTAACATCCTTGCACACATCGACATCGAAGGCCACCTCAAGGGCACCGGTGGTGGTGAAGCCGGGCTGGAAAGTTTCCCAGATCTTCTTCTTGGGGTTGAGCACCTTCTCGGGCTCGGCATTGAAGCCCTCAAAGTAGACTTTCTCGCCGGCCTTGGCGTCAGCGGGAGGGTTGACGAGCTCGACGGGGCCCTTGTGGTCGTCCTCGACGCCCTCCTGGGGCTTGGGCGAGGCAGCGAGCACCATGGCGCACGACTTGATGCCGCGCATCTTGACGGGCTTGAGGTTGCAGACGACGACGACCTTGCGGCCCTGCATCTCCTCGAGAGGGACGAGCCCGTTGAGGCCGGAGCAAACGGTGCGGCACACCTGGCCCTCGTACTCGGCAGTATCCTCGGTACCGGGCGCATCGCCGACGGCAATGGTGGAGACGAAGAGCGAGTCGGCTTCGGGGTGCTTGATGGCCTTGAGGATGTGGCCGACGCGGAGGTCGATAAGACCGGGGGAGAGGGGCGCGGGGGGAGGAGGAGTGGCCTTGGGGCGGCGGTTCTCGTTGACCTTCTTCTCCTTCTTCTCCTTCTTGGGAGCGGCGGCGGCGGGGGCGGCGTCGGTGGCGGCCTGGACGACCTGGTCCTTGACCTCGACGGCCTTCTCGACAACGGCGGCAACAGCCTCCTTGGTCCGGTCGACAACAGTGGCGGCAGCGCCCTGAACGGCAGAGGCGGCGCCCTGGGCGGCGGCGGCAGCAGCAGCGGCCTTCTCCTTCTTCAGGCGCTCCTTCTCAGCCTTGGCGTCGACGGGAGGCTTGACGTAGAGGATCTCGTCGGCATCAATGGCGATCTTGTCGGCGTCGGCAACGTTGAGGCCGAAGAGAGGGCTGTTCTGGACAAAGTCGACGAGGCGCACAATGTTGGGGCGGCCCTGCTGGCCGGTGCGCTCCTCGGGCGACCAAGCCTTGACGAGGGGTGCGACGGCCTCGTAGATGGCGATGTCAGCCTTGGAGGGCTTGGTGCCGAGGACGGTGGTGCGGGTCGCGAGGTCGGCGTTGAGGGCGTCCAGGACGGACTGCTTATCGTCCGAGGCCTTGATGGTGTCAGCCTTCTGGATCCATTGCTGGACCTCCTTCTCCTCGGCGGGAGTGTACTTGTAGGTGTCGAGGGCGGCCATGATGCGCGAGTTGGACAGCGAGATGGAAGTCGGCGAGACGAACTGTCGCGAGAAGACGCTGCGAAGAGCGGGACGAGCAAACCGGAGGGGGAACAGCTTGAAGGACGTTGACTCCCGGTACTGGAGTGTTTATTATAGTCGTACTGTGTGTATGTCTGGACAACAATTTTGAATCTCAATTCCTAATTGCGGGGCAGGCCTCACTTTCTCGATGGAGTTGAGTCAAATCGGATGGGACGAGGGGCAGCTCTGCGACGTGCAGGGGGTCGTTATCCAGGTCCAGACAATGTCCGTGCACCAAGCAATCACAGTCCATCGACCACTTTCCTCGGTTATAGTGTAAACTTCGCGACTCAGCTGGCTACCTATGTACAGACGTGTTTGGATGATATTGAATATTAATTCTGAATCTATGTATGCAAAAGTCTTTACACTTTTCTATATCGGCAAGCCCGGAAAGTGAGAAGACGAATCGAAGACTGGGTTATGGAGGCACTTCTGTAGGTACCTCTAGACTAACAATTTGTGAACAGTGAACGCGGACCAGTTTTTTGCTTGAACAGGAAAAAGAGCACGGACATTCCCTTTCTCATTGTCTGGACCTGCCTGGACAACGATCACCGACATGCCGGCCCGTGCTGTGGCAAGCTTGAGGCAAGATTCTGTGCATGTCCTAAACGCTTATGCCAAAAGTGCATAGCATCACATCTGTCAAGCTCTGTGTAAATCATGGAAGCCGTCTGTATCGCAGCTTCGATCGTCACATAATGGCTCAACATCAACATATACATATTAGGCTTCAGCCTTTCACATCATAGCATATCTTTTCAGTCATTTAGTTATGCTTGACAATACTTATTGATCACTGTATCTACATACTCGTAGCGATGAGAGCGACTGGATGGCTCGTGCACTCGGTGGCTGCCTGGACCTCGTGACGTCGTGGCAGCCGTTACGATGGCCTTGTGTCTTCCCCGTCGCGTAGATCGTCGCGTTTTCGTAATTGACAAATCACTTCGCCTCGGCCTTCCCGCCGCAATCTCAAACCATATGGCGACGATGGTTCTTCTCTGATATATCCGTCAAATCTGCTTGCCTTTGCCTTGTACCCATTGGGACATCCACCTTCTCATCCCTTGCTTCAATCCTCGACGCTCTTGATCTCCCTGTCGTTTGTTCCTTTGTGTGTGGCGAAAAACCAACAAAAACAAAGGTCGGGAACTATTTTTGCTTTTTCACTGTGTGTCACAAAAACCGTTTGTGTCTCTTGTTCCCTCTTGATTCTTGCTGGACTTGAAACCTTTTCTTTATTTTTCTTTTTTTTTTGTCCACAGATTTCGACCATTGTCAAGTCAGCAGAAAACCCGCCGGGCCATCAAGGTACACGCCCGACAAGCACCCTTGAACCATGCGGTCGACATCTTCATCCTCGGCGTCCGGTCGCGGATCTGGTAGCTCACGCGCTCCGTCCCGACTGCCTGATAGCGTCCCTTCGTCTCCTCCACCTGAAGAGCCACTAGCCCGACAGCAAGAAGACATCGTGATGGACGACTCAAAGATGAGCTACACAAAGTTGCGCGCCGAGCAAAGGCTCGCCGAGGAAGAGGAAAAGGCTCGCGTAGAAAACGAAAAGGCAGAGGAAAAGCGCAAAAAAAAGTGGAAGAAGAAGGTCCTGAGCAAAGAGGAGCGCGATGCAAAGGCAAAGGATCTTGATCGGCTTCTTGCTCAGAGTGCAGCTTTCAGCAGCATCCTGACTAACAAGACAAAGGTTCTTGGTCGTGTGGGAACTGGTCTGGATGGAAAGACCATTGGTGAACATGAGTTGACCATGGCAAAACAGCCCAAATGCGTTGTCGGCGGTACCATGAGAGACTACCAACTAGAGGGACTGACATGGATGTATGAGATCTGCGTCCAGGGCATGTCTGGCATCCTGGCTGACGAAATGGGTTTGGGTATGTTGAGCCTCAACTCTTTTCCTAAGCTGATTTTGGTCTTGGCTAACGGCTTCATCTCTATCACACTACAGGCAAAACCGTCCAAACCATTTCCCTAATAGCGCTGTTACGTGAGCAGGAGAACTACTTGGGGCCTCACCTTATAGTTGCTCCTCTCAGCACCTTGTCTAATTGGATTGATGAATTCCACCGTTGGGTGCCCTCCATCCCGGTGGTCATGTATCATGGCACCCCTCAAGAGCGTCAGGATATCTTCAAAACCAAGCTCATGCACCATCTCCACGGCGGCAGACCGACCGAAAAGTTTCCTGTTGTCTGTACAAGCTACGAGATGGTCCTCAAGGACCGAGCCAACCTCTCCAAGATCAACTGGGAGTTTATCATCATTGATGAGGGTCACCGCATGAAGAACTTCAATTCAAAACTGTTCAGGGAACTCAAGACATTCACTTCAGCCACTCGTATCCTCATGACTGGCACCCCATTACAGAACAATCTGAAGGAGCTTTGGTCACTTCTAAACTTCCTCTTACCAAAAATCTTTAGAGATTGGGAGGCCTTCGAAAGTTGGTTCGATTTCAGCGACCTTGAAGATGAGGAAGGAACTGAGGAGTTCATTGCCGACAAGACCAAGCAGGAGCTTGTCAAGAAGATGCACGTGGTCCTTCAGCCCTTACTTTTGCGGCGAGTAAAATCTGATGTCGCCAAATACTTACCAAAGAAGCGCGAATACGTCTTGTATGCGCCCATGACAAAGGAGCAAACCGATTTGTACAACGTTATCAACGATAAACATATCGATACCCGATCATATCTGGAGAGTAAAGTAGTCGAGCGCCTTACTGGAGCCACAACCAGCACCGCATCATCACCAAGGAGTACCTCTCGCTCTTCCAAGGCAAACAGCGTGAAGATGGAGTCTGATGGTCTCAGCGAATCAGGAAGCTTCACGACCAAGACCAGCGCACTTACTCTCCAGGAAAAGGAATCAAGTCCGCTAGCCAAGGATGCTTTTGCACTAATGATGGGCAAACGGACACGAGGTCGTCCGCGCAAGGCTCTTTCTGTGTCCGAACCTCCTGCGGAAGAGACAACACCAGTCAAATCCACCACAACAGGCACAAAGAGGAAGGCCGCACCGGTTGTAGAGACTCCGGCACCAAAGAGCGCAAAATCAAGCAGACAGTCTACGCCCATGAGCACTCGGAGCCGGAGTCGGCGAGGAAGGCGGTCGTACAAAGAAGCAGACTCTGACGAGGAACTCCTCGATGACGATGAATTCGAGAAGAAGCTGGCCAAAGAGGTCGTGGAGGACGATGTTCAAGACATGGAAGTCGACCTCGACGTCGAGGAGATTAAGCGCGCCCAAACTCTTGACCTAGCCAAGAAGGAAATTTCCAACAAGAAGCTCGGAAACCCACTTATGCAGCTCCGCCTCGTCTGCAACAGTCCGCACAACTTTTACAACCCCTGGTCCAACTCGGACCAGCCCATTGACGAGAGCATTGTCACCGCCTCCGGCAAGATGCTCTTGCTGGACCGGCTCCTCCCCGCCCTCTTTGAGCGGGGGCACAAGATCCTCATCTTCTCCCAATTTAAGACTCAGCTAGACATCCTCGAGGAATACTGCCGCGAGCTACGTTCATGGGAGGTCTGCCGCATCGACGGTGGCGTCGCCCAGGACGACCGACGAGCGCAGATCGAGCAGTTCAACACGGATCCGGACGTCAAGATCTTCCTGCTGTCTACCCGCGCCGGTGGGCAAGGTATTAACCTTGCCAGCGCCGACACTGTTATCCTGTTCGACAGCGATTGGAACCCGCAGCAGGACCTGCAGGCGCAGGACCGGTGTCACCGTATCGGACAAACGCGGCCCGTGGTAGTGTACCGGCTGGCCACCAAGGGCACAGTGGAGGAGGAACTGCTCATGAGTGCGGACGCCAAGCGCCGGCTTGAGAAGCTGGTCATTAAGAAGGGCGGGTTCAAGACCATGGGACAGAAGCTGGACCTGCGCGAGGAGGGACTGGATCGGGAGACGCTGCGTGCGCTGCTGCTGAAAGATGGGCAGGTGTACAAGTTCAGCGGCGACAAGGAGATTCTGAGCGAAGAAGATCTGCGGGTGTTGTGTGACCGGAGTGATGAGGCATATGCGAGCGCGGCGAAGGGTGAGGGCAATGCGGATGGGTGGAAGGTTATTGAGACGCAGGCGGAGGGGATTAGAACGGCGGGTGAAAAGAGAAAGAGGTGATTTGGTGCTCCTGATTGCCCATCACGCCTTGGAATAAATCACAGTTGAATATATTCATAAGAAGAATAATGTTACCGTGTCGCGCGGTTAACCCTATGATTGCTCCACCCCTTTAATGGTGTCTAAACTCAAGGAGGAGGAGGAGGAGGATACACAGGAGAGAGAGACAAGTGAAGAGAACATTGATGATCGCTAGGATGGTACAGGCACCTGTATATCTGTGTATCAACGAATATGCGAACTTGAAGGGGTAAACGTTTGCAGGTAGGCCTGCTATATACCCGAAACTTTGTTGAGGCAAAGAGAGGAAGCTACACCGTGAAGTAGGATTCAATGTGAGGAATGAAAAAAAAAAAANAAAAAAAACCAGAGGAAGTGCACCGAACAAAAGAGGAAAGGAGACAAAAGTTAACACAACCCGATTCCCACCACCATCGGTCATCGATCATCGATCATCAACCCTTTTCTGTCGAAGTCATTCTCCCCCCACTACCCAAGGGATCAAGGAAGCACTCGGCTACATTCCTTTGGGGGGAAACAATGGAAATAATCTCCTGTCTGCCTAGTACCCCAAGGAGAAGAAGTTCAATTCTAAGCTACAACAAGAGAACGAATTCATCACGAGCAATTTAATTGCTGCCTATTCTTCTTCCCGAGGCACGAGTGGACGTGTTGACGTTGAAGTCATCAGAGCATAAGGTCTTGGCAAGTATGGCACGTTGAGATGGAAAGCCGAGAAGAAATATCAAGACGCAGTATGCATTGCTGGATTACATTGATTTTTATCGGCCTATGTAATCTTTTTTATGGTAAAGTAGACGGCGACACCGCCTATCCCTTCTTGTAAAGAGCGAATTTCTCCCATCCATCCCGTTACTATGATGCAACGAGGGGAAAAAAAAAAAAAGAGGACATAAAAAGGAACCAGATTTGAAAGTGAGTGGAGCTTCAGTCTTTAGGTGAACAGCTCAAAAGTGGAAAAGTCGCTCCAACAAACGGCGGTGAAGTATGGAGTTTGAAGCTGAGAATAACGAGGGACCACGCTGACGGAGTTGAAACGAGTAACTCGAGCGACAAGGTTGAGTCCAAAGGGTAGATATCCCTGGGAGTGAGGCCGCTCGAATGCTCACCACTTTTTATGTCCATCGCAGAGTGCCAGGTGGTATATCAGCCAATTAGAAAAGGAACTTTGAACTCTAAAAACCGTGATGTTATTCTCTTTTCTTTTATTTCTTCCCTCTCCAACAATCCATTGAAAAATGCCCATAGCGTAGGCATGGAAAAGTTGCTATGGGCAATCCAAGTCCCACGGTCTCGTCCGCTCCACTAACCCCTGAGCTAAAATGAAAAACTTGTAAACAAACAGGAAGGGTCCAAAAGAAACCTGAGGCCTTTGTAGTTTCCTCAACTGTTTGTCTGTGTGTTCCGCGTCATGTTCATCTACACCTACAAAGAATTTGCTCATACATGACAAGAGGATGTTAGGGCTTTCAAGCATACCTGATGGGGGCGAAGCAAGGTCTCAGGTTTTCTTTTGTGATTGACAAGCTTGCGAAGATATCATCATCTTCATACAACTACGGACACCTATACCTACCTTCGTGAAGAGCCATCTTGCGGTCGGAAATAACGGGTAATATCGGCTTTCGAAAGCGAACAGCGAGCCTGCGAACCTTCCCGGCTCCCGCATCGTAGTACATACATAGCAATCCCCCGAACCCGAACCCGAACCCAACCCAACAAGATGGCTCCATCGGCCCATCATCATCAAGGTCACTTGACGTTACAGATTTTCCATCGCGGGCCCTGAATCGTCACTGGCGGTTTCCATTTGTTCCAAAACTTCTTTTGTCTGGGGGGGTCCGGGGAATGTTACATAGCTGGTTAGTGGAGTTGTGATGGGAAAAGCCGGCGTGCTGGTACGGGTGGTAAGTGGTGGGTTGGACTGAGTCGGGGAAAGTGGATACAGAATTGTCATCACCAACCCCCACGGACTCCACGGACTCCACGGCAGGTTCGGGATCCCTAACCCGTTTTGCGGCTCTCTCCATGGGGAAATGGGGGGGATGACTGGGGATTGGGGGTTAGACTGGGGAAAAGTTCTCCGTTAGGGGACTCCATAGGACCCCCACCTAACGTACACTAAAAACTAAAGCGATGAAATTCCGGGGTGTTGTCGTCGACGACGGCTGACCGACGACGTCCAGGACGTGGCAACGTGCGTCCCACTGTGGAGCGGTTTTAGTGTAAGAAAAAAAAAATAGTGCCAACTTGAGTCAAGATTTGCCAACACTTCTCATCCTGGTCGTCTTTTGACAGAGAACCATCATTCACCTGGAGAGATGTGAACTGCACCCACAGGGCCAGGACACGGGCTGGACGGACCAGGACCGGGTCTTGTGTGCCGGCCCGAGGTTCTGGTGAGTTTCGATACCAGTACGTACCTCGTAGAGCGTTGGACGGTGTACGTAAAACCTAGAATAGTGAGCTTCTCGGGGATGTTGGTGTTGTGAATATGTCGGCTTCGTAGTAATGTTTATTACAGGCGGTGAAGCATGAATCCCGGACCGAGGGAGTTTGCGAGATGTGTTGGACCCTGTCCGGGGGCCAGGAGGATCTAATATAGACTTCCCGTACAGCCCAGATAGTCGCGGCTAGAGACGGATTCTGTTTTCTTTCTGTCAGTAAAGCGCCAACGGTTGCTTTATACGGTCGCAGTCAAAGGGGATCATCAGGGACTGGTCCCCCAACGTTGAAGGGTGACCCAGATCAGGCATGCAACTTTATCTGTGCGCTAAGCCATGCGACTATTTCGACTTTTGGGGGATACGCGGAGAATATTGACTTAGACGTCCTCGTGGGTAGCAGAAGGGATTTTGGGGGTATCCAAAGATCGTGGAGTGTTGAGGTTGGTGTTGTTTGACGAGACATATGCCAAGACAGACAAGACCAGCCAAGCTTGAGGCTCCGTTCGGGGGAAGCGGAATCGCGTGCTGCCCTCCAGGGATGTTGGTCTGCCGAACGTGTGTGCATGGTGTTGGTACCTACCTTACCTATGTACACTTACAGTAGGAAACCCCTGCAATTACAACCTCCAGGAAATGCATATACGCCTGTGAGTACATATGATCTGACTGGCTTAGTTGATTTCCAGCCACGACTATACAATACTGTATACTAATTTCGGACAGTTTCTGGTACGTACACTGTATACACTTATAAAAATAGGTCCCGAGTACATAGTAAAGCTCTTTGTACACTAAAGTGTGGAAATTCATTATCACATATGCCATGTTGTGCGTACAATCCTCAGGTCTGACATACTTGTAGTTTCAGGGATTCTATTGTATCTGTACTTGCGAGAGAAAGGGTTGCACGGTAGGAACTGCAACCGTGATGGCCACGTTATCGAGCAAGCTTGCACCTGATCGTCTAGCACCACGCGATTGCGGAGACCTCCTCCGACGGCAAAAAGAAGATGGAACCGAGTTTTGACGAGAAGGTGGAAGACGGGAAAATCGGCAGGCAGATGCCGCGCGATCCGTTGGATCGATACATGTCCGCGTCGGCGGAAGAGTCGAGACTTGGTCAAGATTTTCTGGCGCAAGGTAAGCGAGTGAAACCTTCTGAGCGATAGGACTTGTCGGGCTGTCGGGGCGCCTACTGGAAATGCCCAAGTCCAAAAAAGTTGGTGGTCACCGTGGAAGGAAACTGATGGCCAGAAATTGTCAGCTGTATCAGAGTCGGGACCTAGAATGTCGTCTGGCAAGCGGCACCGGCAGCGGCAAGTCGTTGTGGTTGTCCAGGTTTTTGAAAACTTCGCGTTGATGTCGCTCCCAATTCCCAAAGCAGAACCTCAATGCCGTGTGGGGCATGCAGGTCGCTCTAATCCGGGCCGAAAAGAAAGCGGGCTACTGCAGAGTCGGGCGCGACTTCGCAAGAAATGAAATGTTCTTGTCAATTGTTAGTGCAGCTTGTCAAGCCTGTCAAGACTTTATCATCACCGAATACCTCGGGGCGCTTTCAAAGAGGCGTTCCCGTCTTAACTTGTTCCAGGTCTCGCCTAGAGAACTCCTCCAATGGAGCTGTTCATCCAGATTTGATGGTCCATGTTCTGGCCGTAACTGGTTGTCCACCTTCTGACATACATAGCACCACATCTGTATATACCATTGAGAAATGACAATGTCAGGTCTGTAGGAAACCTCTGAAAAGCTTGTGTGACTTGCAGGCATCAAAGTTCGCCATATTGCCAGGTTTCACCAGCCATCCTAGACTTCAACGTTGCAGTTCCTTGCAATGCGGGGAACAACCCACAATACCCACGAACCGGCGGTTTGTGGATTAACTTGTGGACTCGTATGGGGGTGATTTTGAGGGGAAGATATGGGGGAAACGTTGGGGGAGTGATGGGGTAGAAAAAGTGGGACGTCATCAAGGCCTTCAGGTCCCGTCGTGTAAGAAGGCTGGGATGGATACCTGACATGGGTAGAGGTAGGATCGAGTAACCATCTAGTGCACTTGGTGCTCTACTTAATGCGCCCCGACTGCCATCCCATCCCGACAACCCTTTCTCCTCATCCTGTTCCTGCTTTGTTTGGTCTGGGTCCGTGGTGTTTCTGTGTCATCTTGCCTATCCACCCCTTACAACACATACAGCATGGCCAGGCACGGGGGCCGTGATTCCCTCTCAGGGATCGAGAAGCCGGCGGTCGAAGCATCCGAGAACTATACACACAATGAGCAGCCAAACACTGGCAATCTCAATGTCCGCGCTATGGACCCTGAGGAGCGCATTCGTATCGAAAAGTCTCTCCTCCGCAAGCTTGATGCTCGGTGCTCCTACTTTGTTGTCATTTATATCTTGTAGGTGACTCGATTCTGTTCAGTCTCCTTGGAGCCAATAAACCGTACTAACGACCTGGTAGGAACTACCTCGACCGAAACAACATTGGTGCCGCCCGTCTCAAGGGTCTTCAAGAGGATCTCAAGTTGAGCGATACCCAATATGCGACATGTCTCTCCATTCTTTATGTCGGATATATCCTCATGCAGATCCCTTCCAACATGTTCATCAACCGAATTCCCCGGCCATCGCTCTACATCTCGGCAGTCATGGCGATCTGGGGTCTCATTTCGACGTTGACCGGTCTGGCCAAGGGCTTTGGCGGCATGGTTGCCATCCGGTTCCTGTTGGGCTTCGTCGAAGCCGCCTTCCTGCCCGGAGCGCTCTTGATTCTCAGCAAGTGGTACACCCGTCGTGAGCTGACCAAGCGCAACGCCATTCTCTTCTGCGGCAATCTCATCTCGAACGCCTTCTCTTCTCTCGTCGGTGCTGGCGTCTTGTCCAACATGGACGGCGTGCTGGGTCACAGGGCCTGGAGGTGGCTGTTCTATATCGAAGGTGCCGCCACCATGTTCGTCGCCGTCATGGCGGCTTTCATCCTTCCCGACTTGCCGACCAACAGCCGCGGGTTCACCGAGGAGGAACTCTTGGTTGCCCAGTTGCGCATGACCGAAGATGTCGGTGAAGCCGATAGCGACTCAGCCGATATGGGGATCTTTGACGGCTTGATTATGGTCGTCAAGGACTGGAAGGTTTATCTGATGATGCTGACTTTCACTGCCTACACCACCGGTTTGAGTTTCAACGCCTTCTTCGTAAGTTTCCATCATGGTGTCCTGTATGCACGCATCGGCTCATCGCTAACAACACAACAAACAGCCTACACTCACGGGTACTCTAGGCCTGGCATATGTTCCCACTCTTCTTCTCAGCGCCCCTCCCTGGGTTTTTGCCTGCATCTTCTCACTCATCAACGCCTGGCACTCGGATCGGAAACAAGAAAAGTTTGGTCACATTGTCGGCCCCATCTGCATGGGTCTTGTCGGATTCGTTATCAGCATGGCGACCCTCAACAAGGCGGCGAGATATGTTGCCCTCTTCCTGCAAGCTGGCTCTTACGCTGGCTTCATCGTCTTTTACTCGTGGATCAGCTCTTCGTTTCCCCGCCCACCTGCCAAGCGTGCCGTCGCTCTGGCCATGATCAACGCTTTCAGCCAGCTTGGCAACGTCGCGGGATCGTACGTCTGGGACCTGAAGGAGAACGGCTACCGCAAGAGCTACGGCATCGTGACGGCCATGTTCGGTATCACGGTTGTCGGCTGCTGGGTGATCCGTATGGTGCTTGTTGACCAGAACAAGAAGCTTGCGCTTGGAGAGGAAAGTGCATGGGAGGTGCACGACGATGTGGCCAACCAGACGGCGAGAGTGGAGGGATTGAAGAGCGAAGGTGCCGATTTGAAGCCACAGATTGGGTTCAGATATCTTGTTTGATTTAGCGCAGGAAAGCGTATGTCTGTATGATTTCAGATCTTGGTTAATGATACCCCGAGAACTTGTTCAACTGATTGTGACTTCGTTTTTCCCTTTTTGTCACTGTGACTGTTGTGGAAGTTGCAGATACCCAACTTATACGTACCTTTCTATGTTACCTACCCCGCTACTGGGCAGGTGTTTGTGGCGGATAAAAAGTGAGATGAATGGAAGGGACATCCACCTGTTATGTGCAGCTCAGCTGCCTGCCGTGCAGTTATAACAGGTGCCTGCCGCAGGATTAACTAGGTACCTCGCCTACAAAAGTCACAGCTGCCGCCGGATTAGATAAGGTATCTCCATAGACAGATCTCCGGCTTGTTATGGATGCAGGTAGTATTCTCCCAACGAGCCCCCAAAACATCCAGAGTTTCCACGCATTCTCCCTTTTTTTTTTCAGAGTTTAAGTCTCGACCTTAACGGCGAGCTAACTGGCATTTCTTTCCACTACAAATCTTACCCATCGATCACCATGTGGTTGATCAACACACGCACCCTTGAGCTCCAGGAGTTTGTGGGCGCCGACATACCCGCGTATGCCATTCTTTCGCACACATGGGAGACTGGAGAGATTACATTCCACGACGCCAAAGCAAAGCTACTGGGGAAACAAACCTCTCGAGGCGCCCGCAAGGTAGCAAAAGCATGTGAAGTTGCAGCCGAACATGGACTGGCCTATGCGTGGGTCGATACGTGTTGTATTGACAAGTCCAGTAGTGCGGAGCTCACAGAGGCGATCAATTCCATGTTCCAATGGTATCGCTCGTCGCAGATTTGCTTGGTCTACCTCTCCGATCTCAAAGCAGTCGAACTTGACCACGCAATGTACACATCCCGCTGGTTCAAACGTGGATGGACGCTTCAAGAACTCATCGCTCCCTCCAGACTCATGTTCTACGACCAGGACTGGAAGGAAAGGGGGACGAAAGAGGATTTGGCAAGCCTACTCAGCAAGATCACTCGCATTGATATTGGAATCTTGTTGGATCCTTCCAGAGTGTATACTGTTCCGGTTGGCAAAAGAATGAGTTGGGCGGCTGACCGGCAAACAACGCGTTTAGAAGACAGGGCCTATTCTCTGCTGGGAATCTTTGACATCAACATGCCTCTAATATACGGAGAGGGCCCGAAGGCCTTTACAAGGCTACAAGAGGAAATTATACGGCGAAGCAACGATGTCAGCATCTTTTGCTGGCGGACCCAGGAAAATACACGTTGGCGCGGTATACTGGCCTCCTCGCCTGATGAGTTCAGGTGTGCAGCAGACACTGAGGATGATGTGGCTCTCAAGAACGGGCCTGAATACACTCTGACAAACAAAGGCCTCCGAATCGAGCTCGACCTTGCGTCTGCCGGCCCGAACCTCTACTTCATGGCACTGTATTGTACCGACTACTTCAAGGACGAGTGGGAGTGCATCTACTTGACGGCCATTGGTAAGGATTCGTATGCGAGGGCTCGACCACAAGAGCTTGTCCGCAAAGTCCGAAAGGGTTTGTTATGGGTCCGGAAGCAGTCTCAATACCTCACTGAGGAGATGGACTCTGAGATGTCGTCCATTACACTCAGGTATGCTTTGGATAGGTCATTCACGTTTGATGGGCTTCTACACACAAGATTGGGATACCAGCTTGGCGGCACATATCCTGAACGTTTGTGGCATCACGATCATGCCGCGTTTCTTCATGTCGGTTACAAGCCTTTCGTCGGCTGTCATGTGTTGAAACCGGATTCAAGGCGCTTTGCCTCTGCGGTGATACTTGCGTTCGGAGTCACGAATGAAGGGCGCAGCTGGCTGTGTTTTGTAGAGAGACACACCACCTGTCCCTGGTCCCCATCGCAGCGTGTCTTGAACCGTGCTGAATGCCTGAATACTCCTGTCAACTGGTCAAGGGAAGTCAGGTCAAGCATAGTAGGAAGTATAGGTCAATACGGAATCTTTCGAGATCAGAAAGAGGATATGCTTGCCGCAACGTGGGCAACAGACTCCACATTTCTTACGGCTACACTTGTCGAGGAAGTGCGAGATGGCTGCACCACGTATGTCATAAAGCTCCGAGAGGAACTCATTGTAAGCAGCGAGGATAGCCAGGAGCAGAACACGAGCGGTCCAAAGGATGGAGACAGAAAGTCGTGGCTGATGAGAGCTATCGGCCTTTGACTGGCTCATCTAAGTACACGAACTAAAGGAAATAGTACCGCAAAAACGGGTCGTCAGTGATCCTTAGTCCGGACTCATTAAGAGTTGAATATTCGAGAATAATGGCACATTCCCAGGAATAAATGTAAAACTCTTTCGGCACCTATACTAGGACCCTCTCGCAACCTCACATCGCTATGGTACAACATCCCTCAATCGACCTTTTCTACTCGACCTTAACAACCACCTTACCAAAGTGATTTCCGCTCCTCAAGTACTTGATCGCCTCCTTCCCCTCCTCGAACTCAAACACCTTATCCACCACTGGCCTAATTTCATGCCTCTGATAGAACTCGCACATCTCCTCAAATCGGTCCCTAGGACCATTAATAATTCCCTTGAGTGTCACAGTCCTTCTCAGTGCCAACACGTTCACATTCATCCTGCTCCCCTCACCACTGTCTTCCTTACCAGCCGTATACCCAATGCAAGAGATCAGCCCGCCAAACGCAATGCAATCCAGCGCCTTATACAGCGTTCCCGCCCCGCCCGTCTCGAGAATGATATCCGCCCCGTCGTTCTCTCCCGTAATCTCCATCACCTTCTTCTCCCAGTCGGGCGTCGTCTTATAGTTAATCACATGATCGGCGCCCAACTCCTCCTTGGCCCTGCGCAGCTTCTCGTCGCTCGAACTCGTGATGATGGTCCGCGCCCCGGCCGCTTTAGCAATCTGCAGTCCTGCAATAGCCACGCCGCCCGTTCCCTCCAGTAGCACCGTTTTGCCCTGCAACGGCTTCCCATCATCTGCCTTGGCCCAGGTGCCAAAGGGCTCCATCCCGAAAATGGCCATCCAAGCTGTCACGGCGGCAATCGGCAGGCAACTGGCCTCTTCGTCGGTCAGGTACTCGGGAACCCGGACGAGGCCGGTGGAGGGAAATACGCGGTAGGTCTGCAACACGCCGTCGAGAGGCTTTCCGAGCGCCGAGGCCAGGTCCTTGGCGGTGATTTGGCCGGTGAGGTGGGATTGGCAGAAGGTGGAGAGGACGCGGTCGCCTACTTTCCAGGGGGCTTCAGAGGCGCCGGGGCCGGGGGGGGCAACGGCGGTGATAATGCCGAGGGCGTCGGAGCAGGGGACGAGGGGGGTGGTACGCCTGGAGTAGGCTTCGTAGTGGTTGTACTCGCCGTTGGTTACTGCGGGGGATCGTTAGCTATGTCCTTATGGTCGTGGGGGAACTTGAGCGGAAGGGTGATGATAGCAAGGGAACAACCTACCCTCCGTATCACGGTAGTTAAGAGAAACAGCCTTGATCTTGACCAACACTTCATCCTGGCCCGGAGTAGGCATGGGCGCAGTGCCACGAGTGAGGTTGTCGAAGCCATCTTCGAATGTGTGCCACTGCTGGACTTCCTGTGTTTGAGTAACCATGGTGAAGTTGTGTTTGCGTTGAAAACCGGCGCAAGGTGAGCTGGAGTGAGAACTTTGAGTGATCTTGATGAGGTAAAATGGATGTTGTAAGACGTGCGACCGAAGGAGTTTATATAACTGCTGCGGTGTGAGACTGATGTAACAAGCTGATAAATGTGGTAGTAACCGCTTCGCGATGTGGATCACCCAAGGGATCGCGATTTGTAAGACAGGACGCCCTTTCCCTGAGCTTCCCCACTATGTCTTGGCATAGGTCTTCTTGCACGATGTTGAAGACATGGGACACTCGAGCGTCACGCATCAGCATCATGTCAATCTGATGGAACGAAGCGTTCATAAAGGTGTCACTAATTTACTCTTTACAACAACACTACTGGTTCATTGCCGCGGCTCATGATGGACAGCATTTCCTTCCTGTCAAAGCGCCGTGTGAACCCCATCGGACAACCACCATTCCCAGACATGCTTTACGAAGTAGACATCGCAAAATCAAGCCCATATTGATATTAGAGCCAATTCAACCACGCTTATTCCATCACTCGTACCCAACAGGATCACGTAAGCCTAATCAACAGATGATCATTGCCGGCCCCATCAAGGGCTCAAAGCTCAATCAACAACTCCTCCGTATCCTTCAAGTTCTCCATTTCACAGGCCCTCACCTTTTCCGGTTCAGTCAGTCCAAGTCCACATCCAGTGTTCTTCTCTGCCTGTTCCAAGCGCCACAACCACTCATCAACACTCCTGGCGAACTGGTACAACACAAGCTGGCGTTCCTGAACCTTGCCAAGGCGAGGAAAATCGCTGCTCCGACGCATGTAAGCCAAGCTCTCCATCTCCAAGTCCCATCCGACTAGCCAGGCGTGGGGATCACGACAGCCCCAGTCTTCTATGGGGATTGGAGGTAAAGGAATGATCATATTTTTGCCTATGTTGGTGGACTCGGTGTCTTTGAGGGAGGCGTGACTTTTCATTCTGCGAATGCTGTTGTTGTTCATATCGTTTGCTTTCAATGAGACGCAGCTTCTCATCGTGCGAATTGAACCAGACCGGTTTAATTGAGGTTGGACGTGTGGTTGGGCCTGAGCTCGATCCTGCTTCTTGAGCAGATAAGTTTTGCGCGCCTCAACAACATGTTGAACGACCTTCTTCATCACACATGGATGAATAGGAAAACACGCTTCCTGAACATACTTTTCCTTTGCCGCTCTAGCCACCAACGGATGTGGCCCCTTCAAGTGGTCGCCAACAATGTTCTTGTTCTGTTTTTTCCTGTGGACTTGAATGGAGAAGAAGATATCGTGGAGGCTCTCCTTGTGGAAGTCAACGAGCTTTTGCCCGTCTCCTATCTTCTGAGCTTGGCTGTACAACACCGGCCGGTCTTCCATGCTCATATTGGCGAAGTATTCTCGCAAAAACTTGGCTGTCAGCTGCGAGAGTTTTTGCATATCATCGCGTTGATCGGTTAGGCCGCCCATGAGGTTGACGGTCTCTATGGGGCTGAGAAAAGGATCCTGGGGTACAAAAACGAAGCCGGGAATTTGGGCGAAGAGTTTGTGACGGACGATCTCAATCCACGAAAGGAGTTCGGGCCCTCCTTGCATTTGACCAGCCCAAATCTGTTCGAGACGTGAATGCCTAGTGGTTTGCTGATGGTAGAACTTAATGGGGACTTCGTATGGCCTGTGGTTGGCGGCATACAGGGTTACTGTGACGGTTCTCTGTGGCGTGTTGACCACGGCCCGTGGAGCCGTTGCGGGTATGTTGGATGCGCCGCGTCGAGGGACAAGCACTCGTGATTCTGCCTTGTTGTCTTCATGGCCATGGGTTTGTCGTGGAGTTTGCTTCGAAAAGTCGTTAGACGCTAGTGACGGCGGTAGCGGAGTCTGCTTGGTTGGCGTGTCACTGGACGTTCTAGGGCTAGCTGAAGGAGGTTCGATCGTGTACCGTGTTGACAAAAACGGACTGGGATGCAAAGTGACCGCGTAACGGTAAACACGCAGAAATGGGTCCGTATCGTTGCTAAGAGGCTCTTGTTGATCCAGTAAACTATCCATGTTTGTAGCAATGCTGATAGTCGTTCATGTGATGGTGATATTTTCGCGCCTGAGTCGTCTTCAGTTGACTGTGGAGGTCCAGTGGTTCAGGGCAGTTTGAGCATTTAACCTGATCCCCAGCAAGTGTTGTCGGGTGTTGCCTTCCTGTTTGTCCTGGGTGATGGCTTGCACCATGATTCACTTCGCTGTATCACTTTCCGCTCGAAGCAACCGTTTCTCATCGCATAGGAATAGGTGTTGTGTGATTGGACAGAGCAACCCGGAGCCAACCGTAGACATTTCTCGTAGCTGTGAAGAATGATGGTAAATTCAATGGCAAGTCCGAATAGTGGCGTATCTTCTTCTTTTCTTGACGCGATCCCGCTTTCCTCAATCCAAAGGTCCTAAAAAGCCGCCAATTGATCATAACCAGGGGCATTTCTGCAGTAAAAGCTGTATCGATCAGAGACTCTGATAAATTCATAGTGTCCTTCATGTCATGAATCTCGAAACCCTGATAATGTATACAGTTCACTAGCGTACTCTTCCAGCTCCTCGACAGACATGTTAATATTCCCTCCCGAATAGAAATTAGACGCGCTTACTGTCCAAAGGCGACTAGGCAAGGCCAAAAAAAGAGCAAAGGGATCACCTGCAGGGCAACAATAGGCGGTCTCTACATGTGTTTCAGTTACCGAAAATCACCGGTAGTGATTACCTGTATGAGGGTGAAGATCTGAACGGACGTGACCGTCAGAATTGGAATTCCATATCTGGTGTTAATTGATGGAGAAGGAGATATCTGTATTGATTTCTCAAGGGCAAGTGGAAACTTGGGCTTGATTCTGTGCAGGGGTGAGAAAGCAGGCGAGATGGGTTGGGATGTCGTGGAGACGGATGTCGACCCGCTGAATTAGCAATCAACCTTGTATTGGGTTAGGCCACCCGACCTCCCGCTTGAAGTCGGCCACTCGGTCGTCGTTGCCATCCGCTGTAATCACCCCTTTGATTGATCCGTGATGATTTCGCTGCAAGGACGACGAAAGTATTGAGAGAGTATATGGAATTCAGGCAAACGTGAATTTAGGTTTCCTGGAAAAACCATATCACCGGGCACATTTGACTGTCCGGTCTGTTTCTGATTGTTCTTATGCCAATTTGCCTAGGTAAGCTGAAAGCACGAAGAAACACCATGTACACTACGTGTGTACAGTACGTCAATACCAACGCCAGGTTTGACCCAAGGCATCGGTTGCGAACATTTTTCGAACCGTCAAGTTGCATCTGTCGCGTTTTAAAACACCCGTTTGTTCGATGTTAAAACCCTTAGCACATGCCCCGGATCATCCACGATGAGGAACTGAACAGTTCCGATTTTAGGCGAAAGTCCGCGAATCTCGGCAGACGTGGGCGAGAGCCGGGGGTCAGCTAGTCCGAATCATAGGGGGAAGAGGTGTACGACTGCAAGGCGGCAAAGTCATTTTGGAAATCGAATCAAGAACTTGGGCCCAAATCATGTTTCAAAGCTCTCGAGGCAGACACATAAGAGCTCGCTGCATGAGATCCGGTTGATGATCTCCATCCCTTCTATGAGGAGAGACAGCCGTGTCGTTGCTATGGGTCAGTTGTAGTTCTTCAAAAGCGAGGTTTGCTGCTTGCCGAGTGGTGTCTGCCAACGATTCCAACCGTGGAACATATGTGGAGGACGGGACAAGATTAGATGGTGATTTTAGCTAAAGGTTCTTTTATAAAAGCAAAAGGAGGATGGGATGTCGAGGATAGAAAGCAGCACCTCAACGGGGACTCTTCGGGTTAATAGATGCGGGGTAACATACAGATATGACTCTTTCGAGGTACGTACTGACTTAGAAAGCGTTGTTTCGGTGGTTTGGCAGTTCAACATGGTGTTTGTGACAAGGCTGTCGAACTTCGGCCTTTGGTCAAGTAATACGGGTTGAGGGAGTCCCATTGACGGATGTGGCTTGGTGGGTGATGAGAAGGCGCCCCGATGACTCAAAGGTCGTCATCGGAGGAGGGACATGGAGGAACCTTCCCCTCCTCAGACCTCAAGCAGGTGTCGATATCACGGCTCCTTAACGCTGAATCAACCAGTCCAGCGCCAACCACTGCGAGATTATCTCATATTTCAGCCATGGCCGACGCGGACAAGGGACTGCCCGTCAGCTGCGAATGCGGATACATTAAGTTCCAAACGCCGTCGTCGAAGCCGCTCGGAACGGCATGCTGCCATTGCACATCGTGCCGAAGACAGTCAGCCTCCTTCTTTGGTACCTCGGTCTACTTCCCAACTAGCCAAATGTTTCCGCTACCGGCCGATCTCGAGTCGAAGCTCTCCGTCTTCACCCATCCAGCCGAGAGCGGCAACACCATGCACTGCTACTTCTGTCCCAAGTGCGGAGTACGCGTTTTCCATGCTGGCGTGCTCCCGGATGGTAACATGCGACCTGTCGTTGCTATCAAGGGCGGAGTTATCGAATCTGGGCTGGATTGGAAGGAAATGAAGCCCAAGCATATCTACACTCGATCAGCGGTCATGGAGTTGCCCGAGCAGTGGGAGTGCTACGAGACCACTGCGCCCGCACAGTATGGCCCAGCGCCGGGAGACGATGCCAAAGACAAGAAGACGAAGGAATAATGAACATGCGTTTTCGGTTTTGTCTATAAACAGTTGATGTTGCTACGTGGAGGTTGGAACAGATGTCGTTCAGTTATCTTCTCTTGTTTCGGATGGGAATGCTGGCGCACCGACATGTAGTTATAAGCTTAATGCATTGTCCCCTGAATCGTTGCGGAAACTGTTAGCGCACAATCTCCACTAGCTGTGAGGGTTAGGGTCATTCAGGTCTGTGACCAGTCCAGCCAGTCCCCCATCTGAAACTTAAGCGGACGGGAGATCAAATCAGGGGCGTGAAGAAACCCGAAGAGTGGGGCTGACAGCACCCCTCTCCGCCGCTGCGCTGCGACCCTGACGGATGCCAACTTTTAGCACCCAAACCGCCCGCGGTCTGGCTCCTGAATGTCCGCCATGCGCCCAGTCCGTCTTGTCAACTCCATTCTTCGAACGCGTCTCATCCACACAATGGCTCCCAGTATGCCTTTCTGCCGCTATGTTACTCTAAAGACACCATGATCCTCCACCATTACTGACTCGGCCGCGCTGCCAGCTCTTCCTCCCGATCGTCGCCCCGTCGTTATCTCTGGCCCCTCTGGCGTCGGCAAGGGCACCCTCTTCAAGCTCCTCTTCGAGAGACACCCCGACACTTTTACTCTTTCCGTGTCGCATACCACCCGCGGCCCTAGACCCGGCGAGAAGGATGGCGTCGACTACCACTATGTCACCAAGGAAGCTTTCGAAGAGCTGAAGGCCAAGGGCGGTTTCGTCGAGAGGTACAACAACAACAACAATCAGCAATGTGCCCAGTCAGAGACACGACTTGAGAGCATAGGGGCTAACTCTCCATAACAGTGCGCAATTCGGCAGCAACTTCTACGGAACCAGCAAGGCCACCATCGAGGAGCAGTCCGCCAAGGGCAAGGTTGTCGTTCTCGACATCGAGATGGAGGGTGTCAAGCAGATCCAGGCCTCTGGCTTCCCCGCCCGCTACGTCTTCATCGCTCCCCCATCAGAGGAGGAGCTCGAAAAGAGACTCCGCGGCCGCGGTACTGATAAGGAGGAGGATATTATCAAGAGACTGGCTCAGGCCAAGAACGAGCTCGCTTTCAGCAAGACCGGTGTCCATGACAAGATCATCGTCAACGAGGTACGTGTCGCTTGCTCACTTCAAGGCGCCGCGTACCATGAGGAGCTAACACATTACAGGATCTCGAGACGGCCTACAAGGAGCTCGAGGAGTTCGTCTATGCGCCGGTCGCCTGAATTTGGGGTTGAAAATAATGTTTTGAATAGACAGACTATACCCTGATCAACCGCCCTGTCCTCAGAATTGTGTTGACTGTCTCGATGCCAGAACTGGACCATCTTCCGCATGTGTGTTGGCTGCCGCCGTTATTCAAAGTATACCGCACCAAAACCGGAGTAACTTCGCTAGCCGGCCGGTCCTCTGGCCCATATTTCGAATAGACTCTATAGAGGTAACTAGCTAGGCCTTAATCGGCTTAAGCAATAATGGTCGGCTCGTATGGATTTGAAGGCTGATTGAGGGTATGGTCGACCTACAGCAGGCCGTCAAGACCAGCCCAAGTTGGTGTCTGCCTTGGAAGGGTATGTATGAACCCATTACAAAAAGAAATTTTGCGAGCCGTTCATATCAAAACAGTACTCCGGATTGCATTCGCAGACCTTCTCCTCAGTCAAAGACTACGACACTGCTCGACACTCGCGGTGACTTAGTCACTTCCTCGTATTTGGAGCATGGAACGTCCAATCCAGCCAAATATCGATCCCGCATACTCACATCTATATTAAACTTTTGTACAACTTCAACTAGTACCTATACAACCTTGTTCCAAGTGACAACATGATAATCGAGTCCCAGAACCTCCAAGGGAGGTTGGGCACAGCATCGGGGTATGAGCCAGAGCGAAGGATATTCAAGCTGTTCATCTAACGGACATTTTTTGCCTGCCTAGCGGTCGCAAGACTCTACACAAAAACTTCCATACATCCTCTGGTATGCCACCTCTAGTTCTATTCTTTGCGTGTTACCCAAACTCATTTGTTCAACCAGTTATGCTACCGACGGATCTATGCATTCTTAGTCATCTGCCGTGTGGTGAGATGATCCAGAACATCCCCACCTGTGTACTTCCCTTGAGTTGGTATAATACTGTACCATTGTGGAATCCCTGGGTCTGTAAGCTGAATAGTATCTCTTCAGATGTCCCAACTCTCCTCAAGTCGTCAATCAGAGCGAGCAAGAAAGAAGCAGACGACCAGCTTTCCGTCGGAATGGCTATCATAGGAGCCAAAGAAGAACATGGCGAATCACGTTACGTCTAACCGAACTGATCAAGGCGAGCACAATAAAGCCGTGGAAAAAAACCATACCTTCGTCTGCTTTACCTGGTTCACATTCCTTGTGTATCAGGATCAAGATTGGCGTCAGGGTTCAAGTCGTCCATGATGAACAGCCTGCAAACTGTAAAATCCTGGGTAGACTGTTGAACCAATACTTGCTCTAGGGCTTTGTTTCAAGATGTGGAAATGTACACATTACTTCCAACTGTTGAACAGCGAAACAAGAAAACCCATCCATTCACATGACAGTGACAATATACCAGGTACTCACCATTTGCGGAACGCGAGGATACTGCCACTGATGTTACGTAGCAGCTGACGAAGCGAATGGCGACGTCGGAATCCTCGATAAGTTCCCGCTCGACCTGATGCTTGACCGGGCGGGGATTGAGCCTGGCTCCAAGCTGCGCATTCTCGACGACTTAGTTGCATAAAAGCTTCAAAATCGATGCCATGGCTGGCATAGAATCTCCAGCGAAGGTCGTTCTTCGACCAGTGTTGTGTTGGAACAGGATTAATTTGTCTTGTTCGGTTTCTGCAATTTGGTAGGAACGTTGCTTGATTCTGGGGTCAATGGGCCTGAGGTCATTCCTAGAATGGAACGGGTTCTGATAGTATTTGCTTTTTGGTATTTCGAGCACACATCTTACGCTCTCGTATTCCACACATGGGCGCATTTTGTGCGTCATCAACGGTATTACGTACAATCTAGAACTATAACACCACCTATGAGGATGTTTACCAGTATCGTCCCACGGGAATATCATCGTCATCTCCAGAATTTTCCGGATCCCCAACCTGAACCTCCACCGGGATCCTGACCTCGTACCATCACCAATCCGTCGTCAAAGAGCGTATCGGTCGCCTGGGCGAGTGGCTAATGTCTTGGCTGATAAAAACTTTTCATGGCCTTCGACAACTGCGAGGAACACAGCGGTGGACACGTCGGGGCCGAGCTGTTGGTTCAGCCTAACGCTTTCCTGTGTTCTATCGACAATATGTTGTTGCTACATGTTGGCCGCTCTAGGGCTGCCGATGCGAGTTTACAACTGAAAACTTGGGCCACAAGACCCTACTTACCGACACTTGCCCTTGATCCAAGCCAACTGACTTCTGCCGGTAACATGGTTTTGGAAGTTGTAAGCATCGCCAACGTCCAGGTGCGGCTCCAGTCGGGTCTGAGGACCTCCGATTGAGTATGAAGAGACGTTCGAGGTTTAGACTACGGCTTGAAGCCTGAACTGAGATGGGGGAGACCCACACTTTGCCCCCAACTAACCAACCTGCAGCTTTGATGGTTGTAATCCTTGACATTGTCGAACGGAAACATGATGAAGGCAGTAGTTTAATTAATTGTGGTTGGACATCCCTACCAACTGTTTATCAGACGATGAGTCAATTGGGTATTGGAGATGCCCTTGCAGGAGTATAAGTACCTTAGTCTTTCCACACCATGATCTATTGGAAGAAGGAAGTTATCGTACAGCGTTTTTGTTGTAAATCAAGGCTGCGGAACGCTGGCGGTTTGGTCAAGAAAAAAAAACCGACTCTAGAGTGGAAAGAGCATTATGTCCGCAGCTGCATGTGATTGCTTGCTGCCTACCCCACCAGCTGCAGAGTGCTCGATGCTGTCTGATCCCGTCTGAGGAAATTTCGATGGACTACCAGGATTACAAACCTGCGAGAAGCTTCCACTTTCCATCCTTCGCGATAACTTCAATTTCTTCCCATCCAGAAAACCACCCCGAAACAGGAAGAAACTGCGAAGTTCAAGCTGATCGTCTACTTCCCAACTAGTACAGCATCAAACGTCATACTCGCCAAGTTGACAGGATCAATCTTGCAAAACTTTTTCCACGACTAGTGAAGACGACCGCTATTCCTGGACGAATGCCGATGGAAACCGCGCTGAGCATGAAAGAGCTCCGCAATCTAAGACCGAGACCACCACCGTCTAATCGAGCGCCATCGGCTGGGTCAGCGATGATCTGCCTCGTCGACATGTTAGACAGGATCTGAAAAGTGGCATAGATGGCAGATCACATCTCCGCATCTGTTGGGTGCGTCTGTCAGATTCCCGTGAACCAAGATCTTTCATATATGAGCTCTTCAACAGACGATGGCAGCGGTTGGTTCACTGACATTTTTGCAGTCCCCAACATAACAGGTTGTCCTCTGTTACATACAACGAGTTTTAGTCCTCATCTACACTCTGAATATGAAAATTATGACCCCTTCTGGGGTGTTATCAGCAGAGATCCTGGAACTGGAGAGACCAAGGTTGTATCGTAACAGAATTTATGTATACCTTATTTCAATTCTCTGACTGATGGCACCCATCACAACCAAAATAACTGATGCGGATGCGGCACAGATCACTACATCACATCTCGATACTACCCTATAACGGAATGCCCTCAGATGGACAATTGCATCTCTACTTCTAAGTTGGGGCCACGCTGCGTACTTGGTGCCGTCGTGAATGGCAATCGGACTGACGATTGACATCTTGCTTCCCCTGTAAGCAGATCGGTTATCACAAAGCAGCTACTTTGGAGAGTGCTATTTGGGCTCCATCAATAAACATATTTTGACTTCCATCATGTCGAAACACCATAAGATGCACCGCGCTTCTTCCACCTTGCATTAAAAGATACCCAAGACACAAAGGAGGTCAGTGACTTGATATTGCGGCCACCCCATCTTTATCAATACATCTAGGACATCAAGCAGCCATCCATAACACTTGCTCCACGCATCAGCACATCTGCTGCTTGCGTTAACACAGCACAGAAGATGGGATCTCGTATGCCAAACGTGTCCTACTCTTCGCTAACTCCGCAAACGGCCGAGACAACGTCTTTTAGCCACCAGTCATGCCATTCTCACACTTCCAGTTACAGATGTTGAAGTTCACTTCGCTTCTTTCCCGCCCATCCAGACATATGTCCTCTCCACCTACGAACATGCCAAGCGTGACACGCATCTTAACCCGCCCCATCATCTTCCACACCATTACGGGCATCGACATGGTATCCCTTTGAGTCCGCCCCGAAATCGCCGCAGACCGTGTCAACATGACCCAAACTCGCATCGGACTCTCGTATGCGCCATCCGACGCATGTGTCACCTGTTGCGAATTTTGCTTCCCGAGTTTGTTGATATCTTTTGGGTCATCGTCGAGTTTGTCACCAATGTCCATGCATCCATCGTCGCCGTCGACCTGGTATTTTCCTCTGCTTTGACCGCCTTCGGCTATCTCAACCATAACAACCGAAGTCCACAAACCTCCAGAATCGTTCTCCCCCCACACACTATCAGGGACATTTCTATGCCTTTCAAGCCCCACCTCCAAGCCCCCAAGATGTACTCGTGCATCGAAAGGCCTACCCATTCTGTGTCCCCTTGCTATATATTCCATGGGATATCTTCCAAAACTTGTTCTCCATCATTGTTGCCGCCTTTCTTGAGAGCAATTGCCGTCCCCTTCAGTAGTGTCCTCACGTCCAACATTGATGAGGAAACACAGCGAAGGAAATTCATGACTATTTACATTGGTGACCGGTCATTTCCAAAAGGATGGTGCTGAGAAGAGATGAGAAGGATTACACCTGGTGGGATGTTAGGGTTGAGCGATATCGACGGAGGAATGATAACGCCATTTCCCCTGCCCAGTTTCCGGCAACTACATGCACCCAGCATACCAAAGCCCGCATCATTTAAATATTTCAGATTGTATTCGGATAGAAAATAGTCTTCGTCTTTCGCCTTCGCTCACATTAGGGTATCATTGCGGAGTGTCCACCGGGTGTAGTCATTCATCGAAGAGGGCGCAATGCTGCAAACATCCAAGGATCCGTTGACATCCCGGGGGAAAACATCACATCCCGAGGGACTAGTCAGGAATATATCCTCCTTAGTGATTATATTTGTGAGATAGCGCCATTGACGGTGTACAGGATGTGTTCATGGATGAATAAGTAGAATTACGCGTGCATGTTGTGGGCTATTACAATCCGAACCCGTACCCGGAACCACCAACGGGCATGGAACCAGGTGCTGCAAGAACCACAATCGGGATCACTATGTACCTTGGGGTAGGGGATACTCGAAGGGATCCTTTTGATCATATTCCCGGCAATCCTTCAGTCATAACTGCCCGGCATGAAACATTTTCTGATCTACTCCTGCCAGGACATCTGACGAACCATCGTTCGCCAAGAAGATCCAGCTACAGCTGAACCAATCATCTCCTATCTCATGTCCCAATTGGGGAACTGGACAGTGCCACAGCAGGGGTTTTGGCCATCGCCAAAAGTTCCATCTACGGAGTGGAGTCGTTCGGTCTGACCATATCCAATTCATGTTGAACGACATGGCATCATAGGTACAATAGAAGAACCAAGGCTCAGTTTGGGGAATGACAACGTAGGCATGCGATTGCTAGTAGGAAGAAATCGAAAAACATAACGGTTTATAGTTGGGACACAAGAGTGGAAGCTTGGATAGCAGGGCAATTATCCCGTCGTGATATGGAAAGGTCGGTCACAGTGCAAGTGTGAGGTGTTAACTGTATTTCTTGGTAAGACTGGAGTGGGCTGAAAACACCACTGCAGGTTCAAGACAGAAGAGGGCAGGATGCGAAAAATTCCAAAAGAGACAATGAGGAGGGCTGGGCTTAGGAACAATGACAGCGCCAATGGTACTAGCTACCACAGTAAAAGCTCAAAATGGCTGGCCTTGTGCGCTTAAAGCGGCTTTTGTCTCGGAATGGCATGTTTTGGCGTAACTACAGCAAATACGGCAGCAGCAGCATTCTGCCGCGCGAACGGAGATGCGACATCGTGTTACAAGCCCTCGATTTTCTCGTCTGGGAGGCTCAACCCCAGTGAGAACCTCAATATCATGTCGCATCCCTTAAAAGATATCACCAAGCAGCTTTTCGTGGAGGTTTTCGACGCAGCGACCCGATCCGCGGACACTCCTCGAGTGCCGCCAAATTCCTGGGAGTCCTGCCACTTTGCCGCAACAGGGCATCCGCATGGATCCCCTCATGCGAATAGACTCTGATACGAGCGCATGCAAGCACCATGCTGGATAGAAAGCCATTTCCCAACGAGTTCGCGACGCTTTTCATCGCTATCGATTGTCGACGTCCGTGAGATCTTTCTGGCTGATGAGCTCTACGATTCTTATACGTAGTTGACATGCGGGGTGTTATCTCCGATTGTCCACGGAGCCTGATCGCCCGTATAGATGCGCATAACGCCAAACCTGTGTGGATGCATGAGTGTAACACCAATCAATGCAGGAACCGTACTTTGCAAAATCGAGTCACGAGGGGTTATCAAGTTGAGACCTCCCAATTCCTTATAATCACCGCTCGATAATTTCGGTCGAGAGGTTCAGACGGGTCGAACCGACAAGCCCAGCTATGTACTTCACCGGGTACGAAGATTAGGAACGGGAAAAACGTTCATGATCAGAGAGAGGTATTCAGTTGCCTGGAGGTGTTTGGGGGGGGGGGGGGGGGGGTGGTTGCGAAACTCGGTACAGCTTCGGAAGTAAAGCATGTCAGCATGCAATGCTACCACACAGGGCGACACGGCAGGGGCGGTATACAGGCAAATGCCCTGATGGTTTACGTACACCACTTCAATCTTGACTGTCTACATATCTCTTTGGTTGAGCAAAGTTACCTATCATTTTAGCGTCGACACGGTTTTTGGCTAACGAAAACCTTCCGGTACTATGTATGCAGCTTAGTGGCAATCATTTTATCAGCTACTTTACTGGTAGTCTTCCAGACATCTGGTGCGATAAAACCGTTGGGTGGATCTCTCAAAAGTAGCCGCTTCAGTTTTGTGGGACGCGCCAGAATGAAGTGATGGAATCGACCAACGAGATCATCCAGCCGCCATCCAGTAGCGATTCCAAGGAGAAGTGATCGTCAGGGTAGCTTTGAAGGATTGAGGGATTTGTGTAACGACAAGAGGCTATGGTGGCTTCTTGGATCCCAATACCGGGGGACAAAATCCTTTCTCTGGTTTCAGGCCGTTCTATAAAGTGAGGGTGGAAAAGACATGGCGTCGACAAGACATAGCCACGGTGTTGTGAACTGAGAAGAAGACCATTTTCCTCAACCCACATGAAGACTCCATAAACACCAGTCTGGGTAACGCAATCATCACCATGGAGACCATTGACCTAGTCATCATCGGTTCAGGTAAAATCTCACCTGGCTGGCCGGCTGCAGTGGACCACCACAAAATGACTGACCAACCTTTGCCAAAACAGGCCTCTTTGGCCTCGCCATGGCCAAAACCTACCATCAACTCCACCCCACCCTCACCCTCGTCATCTTCGACAAAGCCGAAACCATAGGCGGCGTCTGGGCTGAGGAACGCCTTTACGACGGCCTACGTACCAACAACCTCAAAGGAACCTACGAATATCTCGACTACCCCATGAGCCCCGAACTCTTTGGGGTCGAACCCGGAGAGTACATGACCGGTCCTGTAATGCACAAGTACCTCTCCAGCTACGCCGAGGCGTTTGGCATCAAGGACAAAATCCGGCTTCGGCATACGGTGTTGGAGGCTGCGCATCAGGATGGAGTAGAGGGCGGGTGGGTGTTGACGGTGGAAAGTTCCGATGAAGGAATGACGAAGAAGAAAGTGTTTGCGAAGAAGATGGTAATGGCGACTGGACTGACGTCCGAGGCGTTTTTGCCGGATTTTAAGGGGCGGGAAACGTTTGGGGCGCCGCTGTTTCATAGCAAGGAGTTGAAGAAGTATGAGGGGACGTTGAAGGGGGAGACAAAAGCTGTCACGGTGCTGGGGGGAACAAAATCGGCTTGGGATGCGGTGTATGCGTATGCGTCGAAGGGGATCAAGGTTAACTGGGTTATTCGAGGTAAGTAAGACGGGCTCAATGTGCGGGAAAGTCGGGAAACTAGGGCGGTTGGCTGACCGAGGCGATGAGAACGTAGAGAGCGGGCATGGACCGGCGTGGATGGCGCCGTCGTTTGTTACGCCTCTCAAGTTATGGTTGGAGGCGTTGGTTCGTAAGTAAAACTCGGGAACACATGGCTCATTCGCGATAGGCTAACCACGGATGTCATTTCTCAGACACACGAATTTTGACATGGTTTTCGCCATGTGTCTGGGGAGCTGCCGACGGCTACTCGCTGATCCGGAGGTTTTGGCACGGGACAGCCATCGGACGAGCAGTCACCAATGCATTCTGGTGGGTCTTGGGAAACGACGTCAAGACCATCAACAAGTACAGTTCGCATCCAGAGATCAAGAAGCTCGAGCCATGGTCGCCGGCCATGTTCGTTGCCTCGAGCTTTTCTATCCTCAACTTTCCATCTGACTTCTTCGATCTCATCCGCAAAGGCACCGTCAATATCCACATTGCCGACATCACGAGGTTGTCACCAAAAACGGTGCATCTTTCCAACGGATCCCAGCTGGAAACCGAGGCCTTGTGTTGTGTCACGGGGTGGAAGCACGTACCGCCTGTGAAGTTTCTCCCAGAGGGCATCGAGAAGGACCTAGGGCTGCCTCATTCCCTGGACGGTGACGCTGAACCGATTTTTACGGACGAAATGGTGGCGCGAGCAGATGAGGAAATTCTCTCGAAATTTCCGCGACTCAGGAACCAACCAATTATCAACAAGAGATACAAGCCCATGACGGAAACAGAAGGCCTGTCAGTGAGCGATGAGACCATTTCTCAGGCCCGCCAAACTCCCTGGACTCTCTATCGGTTCATGGTGCCGCCCTCGCCGCGGTTTCTGGCAACGAGAGATATCGCTTTCATCGGTTGTTTTTGTAGCTTCTCTTCTGGGCTCTCTGTTTATCCCCAGGCACTCTGGATCTGCGCGTTTCTCGACGATAAGTTGCCCCTGAGCGTGATGCCGTCCAGAAAAGCTTTGCTTGAGGGGAACTCGAAGCTCAAGAACGAGGCGGTGGGCGAGAAGGGGAAGACCGTGGAGCAGGTGCGATACGAGACGGTTCTCCAAGCACGATTTGGGAAGTGGCGTTATCCGGCAGGTCATGGACACCAGTTCCCCGACTTTGTGTTTGATGCGTTGCCGTATATTGACTCGATGCTTGGTGACCTGGGATTGAAGATTCATCGGAAGAAGAGCTGGTTGGCCGAGATGACAGAACCGTATGGACTCGAGGACTACAAGGACATTGTCAGCAAGTATGCAGAGAAGTATGATGGGAAGATGTGTGCTTGATGGAGTTGTGCCATGCATTTGGCGTTTGTTGGTTTGTCCGCTTCGAGAGTATACCGCTCAAGTTAAAATTTGATCTCGATCTGTGGGCTGAGTCGGTTCGTTCATGGGCAGCCAACTTAGGCTATCATCCCTTATACGAGTGATACACTTATCCATCCTCAGTTTTTCACAACCAGGTCCTCTGTTTGACACTCGAATCGTACTATTGAAAGGCGGTCGTGATCAGTTTGTTGGTTGGAACCCGGGGGTTCGTTTTTCTCCATATCCAACTAGTGGAACATCAAGGCCTGAAAGGTTAATGTGAGAAACTTCGGCACGGAATAGCATCAACATGGCTTCCACCAGGGGCGATATATCAGACTATCGTCTTTCACCCTTCTCCAGCCTTTTCCCATCCATCAGCACCATCGAACATTGACACCATAAGGGAACTCAATCCGAGAAAGAAACCACGAAGCCCGTTATTGCTAGTCCAACCTATCCGACCCTCACAAGATATAAGTCAGTCCGAGCCCGTACTTCTAGCTTCCCTGTGGTATCAGCATGTATAGAATGACTAACCAGTATTGACCAATCCCGCCAAAGTCTACCATTCGAACTCACCCAAATCACCCGTCAGACAAACAAGATGTCCGGCTACACCTCTGGGTTCAGCAGTCACAACCCTAACACCTCCGGCTCCGGCTCCGGCTCTGGCGCCGGCTCAAGCGACATTAGCTCATCTGCCTGGAAATCCAATGCCTCCGAGATCCGTGACGTTAGCAAGTCGTTCAGCTCCACGGCTTCGAGCTCGACCGACAGCAAGGTCAAGAGCTACGCCGCATCCGAGGCCTCCCGATGGGATAGCATGGCCAATAATGCCGATTCCATGGCAGATAAGAAGTAGTAAGCTCATGGAGGATGGGCCATTGCATTCAACACAGAAGCCTCGAGAGAGTGAGATGATGGGGAGAGGAAAAGGATGGGAAGCATGGAAACAAAAGAAGGAAGGGAAGGGATTGGATTGGGAATGGGAAAGATCACGCTACTTGAAAAATGGGATAAGGGCCGGACAAGGACAAGCGGTTCATTTTGAGCGTTGATGATAAGAATCCGTCAGGGAGGAATCTGCGTGAGACGTTCCAGGATTCGAGGGCCAATGGCAATGACACTCTTTTCGGGTTTGATAACGGGAGTTGGGACACATGGTAGTTCCGTGAAAAATATATGAACAAGATGAATTCAGGAGAGACAGCGACAAAAAGGTTACCATTTATTAGGTACCATCATCGTCAAATCTCCAGTGATAGTACTGCAATGTGTTGTGACTGAGATGGGGAGTAATATGTCGACTCGAGTCGTGTGCCAACACAAATTTTCAGTTCTGTGGCGGAGAGTATCGATATCGGGTATGTTGAATAGGACAGAAAAAAAAAGAGTTGGAAAAGTGACAGCCCCGGGCAGGCAGGGCTCAAGGAAGCCGTTCGGTTCGTTGTGTTTCCTCTCCGGATCCCGTTTGAGCCCCGCCGTAGGGCGGGGGTGGGTCGGCCTCTTGCACTAGAGGTAGCTCTCTGCCTCTCCCCACTGGAAACCTACCGTAGAAACTCGCGAAACAGGCCAAAAGCCATCCCTCTTTGAGCGCCGGGCATATGGCAGAAATCTGGCAGAAGTATACCTAGTAAGCCAGCATATGCCAGTATTAGTCCCCGGCCAGTTACTAGTGTAATATAGTGTTGATCTTCGGTATATAGTAGCTCCCAGTGTTCCAACGGTCTCCCCGTTCATTTCTTCCCTATATCGGTTCTATTATATACCCCCCTTATCGTTATTGTACTATTATTATTACTTCGTTACAATATAGAGGTAAGGTAGCGCCTCCTTTAGTTAAACGATGGCAACGTACCTAATCTACCATTTAGCGCTAAGCTCACTAAAATTCGCCCTAAACCGACCGTTAAATTGTATAAAGATTGTAAAATTCGTCATTAAGTACCGTACAAGTGTATCCAACGATCCTATTTGATAGAGAAAAAGCTATAAATAAATTAATTATTATACCCTGTATAATTATTAAATATAATAGGAAATATTATTGTTATAGGGCTAGCGCCCGGGTTATAGACTTTGGTCTCTGAGACTAGAGCTGTTATTGGCTATAGTAGCGTAGAGTGTACAACCTTAATAAAAACCTCTTAGCGCCAGTAGATCCGTATTTCAAATAGACTTTTCCTCCTTTATAGAACCTTGATTAAACTATACAACTAGTACCCGTATTAACCGTACTATCCCCATTATATTAGGTTCTATCTACTAATAGAACTAATAAATTAAAATATACTACCGCTATAGTAGTAAGGGTAGTAGTACGCTATATCGAACGTAGAAGAAAAAGTAGTACAATAAATAGAAATCTAATAAATAGAGAAGGATAATTTTCTTAAAAGTATATTTATAAGTATAGCGTTCGTTAATACTATTAGAACTATTATTAGTACGCCGCCTACTACCTAAAGAATATAGGATAACCCTTAAATACTTATTTAAATAATTACCTATATAATTACTATTACCCCTAGTATTATAATTAGTATTACCTAAGAAGCCGCCCCTATTACCGTTCTTAATACTAAATATAAGAATATTTAGTAGCTGAAGTAGGACGGATCTACCTTAATTTTCTTTCTATTCTTTATATAGTTACGCTTTATATATAAAGAAGAAAGAGTAGTTAGAGCAATCTTTAGTAATAGATTAGGATAACTAATATTATTCGATATATTCTCTAGTAATAAAATAATTAAAGTAGAGGCTTTTTAACGCTGAAGATGTATTAACGATTCCTACCGCCCTATTAATTAATTTAATTATTTAGAATCGGTCTTCGGTAGTGAAAATAAGAAGTAATTTATATTAATTCGCTCACGAACTATTAATTAATATAAGAATTAGAACTTCGCCGATTTCTTCCTAGTCTTTAAAGAGAATTTAATAAAAATAGGAGGCTTTATATAGAAAAATAAATCCCGATTCGCCTAATTAGATACTTCTATATCTAATGTTTTATATAATTAATTAATTTCAATCCGGATACTTAAAACGTATAATAAATACGTAGAAAATTTAAAAAATATTATTTAATAGTTTGAAGCGAGCCGAACCTTCTGTAAAATTAGTAAAAATAGTAAAGGAGTTGCCAACCGCCGCTAGAGGTCTTTCCCTTAACGAGAATAAACTATAGACCTACCTTCGAAGGATACTAATAGTAATACGTATATAATAATAGGCGCTACTAAAACTAAAAGTAAGAATTATAATAAAAACGTTAAATATATTAAATAAATTTCCTAGGAGGAATATAATAAGCGGCGCTTAATTAGGCTTTACCTATATTATAAAGTTGGTAGGTATATAGTTAGTAATTATATAAATAAATATTATTAAGATCCTTATTACTATTAATAACAAAAATTGATTCTATACCCTTATTAATGAAGGTTGTTAATATTATATTACTATTAGTAAGAGGATTGTCGAAAAATTAAAGATTCTAATAATTCCAATTCCTAAGAAATAAATTAGGGGCGCCTCCGCCGAAATAAAAGGTATAGAAATTAAAGGTATTATTTATTTTAGAATAAATATTTATAATTATAAATTAATTGTTTGTATTTATATAATTCTTAAGTTAAAATTCCTTATAATACTAGAAAAACTGTAATTAATTATTATAAAAGCCTACTCGGTTCTATATAAATATAGATTCTAATATAGGGCAACTGGGTACTAAATCCTATATTTAGGATATACGCTTAAGGAATCTTCCCTTTGCGCTATAGAAATTAGAAAAACTATTTACTATTTAATTATAACCTTTATAACTATATTAAATAGGATTAAAAGGAAGAATAGTAAAAAGGCTGTAGAAGTAGTAATATTCGCTATTAGCCTACGAAATATTAAAAAGGCTTTCAAACTTAAAGTCGATATAATTAATAAAGAATTAAAAAGGAGAATCCCCGCTAACATACACAGTTTATTCTACGTATAGAGGTAGTCGGAGGCAAATAAAATTAACTTATATTACTCTAATATTAATTATAAAGTAGAAATTAAGAAGGATAAGAACGATAAAGAAATACCGCTCCCTTATAGTCTATTCTACAATATATTTCGAAAAGAATTTTTAATATTAAAGAAAACGTTTAGAAACTTCTTTAAAAAAGGGTTTATCCGCGCTAATAACTCCCTAGCTATAGTACCTATCCTCTTTATTTAAAAGTTAAATAGTAATTTATAATTCTATTACGACTATTAGGCTCTAAATACTATTATAAGAACCGACCGTTACCCTCTACCCTTAATAAAAAAGACCTTCCGTATTATAGTTAAAGTAAAGTAATTTACTAAAATAAATATAGTATAAGCATTCTATAAAATTCGTATAGCCGAGGGAGAGGAAGGGAAAATAGCCTTCTATATATAATATAACCTTTTTAAATAATTTATGATACTATTTGGATTATTAGGAATTCTAACGACCTTCCAATAGTATATTAATAGTATTCTTAGTAATTACCTTAATAATTTCGCTTCAACCTATATAAATAATATACTAATCTTCTCATTTAGGTTAAAGAAAGACTATTTAATAAAAATCTATAAAGTAGTAGAGCGATTAATTATAGTTAAACTCTATTTAAACCCTAAAAAGTATAAATTTATTACTAAAAGCGTAAAATACTTCGGTTCTATTATTATTATAAGCGTAGGCATTTAAACGGACTCCGAAAAAATTAAAGCAATTATAAATTAAGAAATTCCAACGTTATAGAAAGGAGTAAGGAGCTTCCTTAACTTCACTAATTATTACCGTATATTTATTAAGGATTTCTCCTCTATAGTAGGACTATTAACTATATTTATAAGGAAGGGGGTCCCCTTTAAATGGATTACTAAATATAATTTAACGTTCTAATAATTAAAGACGCTTTTTATAAAAGCCCTTATCCTAATATAGTAGAATCCCGATTTATTTATATTCTTAGAAGCTAATTATAGTAATTATAGGTTCGGTAGTATCCTTATATAAAAGAGGGATAGTAAGAAGACCGTAATTATATACTATTCTTAAAAGTTTATTCCTATAGAATATAATTACCCTATTTATAATAAGGAAATACTAATAATCGTACAATATTTAGAAGAATAATTAATAGAATTTAAAAATTATAAAAAGTTCATTATAATTACTAACTACCGGAACTTTAAATACTTTATAGAGAGGTAGAAGGTTTTTAAATACTAAGTATATTAAATTAAACTTCTTTCAAAATTCAATTTCGAAATTTAGTACCGCCTGGGCAAATTTACTATAATACTTAACACCCTATTCCGGCAGGATTAGAACAAATCTAATAAAGAGAATATAGAGGTAAAGGAAATATAATTAATCCCTTAAGAGGCTCTTAAGAATTATATTCGTATAATAGTTTCTTTAATAACTATAGGAAAAGGTATAAAAGTATTCAAAAATCCGGATTTATAGTAATTTTATAAGAAAGTAGCCTAATAAGATACAATCTACTAGAACGTTTTCTAAATAATTATTAATAGCGACCGAAGCCTTCCTACTATAATTTAAAGCCCAAAAATACAATTAGGAAAATACTTAATTAATAATTTAGGGAAATTATATTATTAAAATTGCATTTAAATCCCTAGAGCCCCAATTATTAAAGAAGTAACCGCCTTCTATATATTTCTAAAAGATTTAAAGAAAAATATTCTACGTACGCACATTATTTAAAAGATATACAATTCAATTACCCTTAATTACCCTAAGAGAGAAAAAATAATATTACTATTAATAAAGACTTCTATTAGCCGTTGATAAATATTTATATTCGCTGGTTTATAAGGAATTATAATACTTATAGGAAGGTTAAATATTAAAAAGAATAGAAAAAAGAATTATTTAGACTACTATTAATCCCAGATTAATTCTTTAAGAATATTTAAATAAATTTTATTATTAACCTCCTACCCTTAGAGGGCTGTATAAACCTCCTAATTATTAAGGACCGGCTTATTAAAGTAATAATTTTAGAATTTATACCTACTATAGAAGTAGGAGCGGTTATTAAAATTTTCTTATAATATTTTATACACTACTATAATTGGCCCTAATTTATTATTAGTAATAAAAGTCCTAATTAGACTAATAATTTTTAAATATATTTTTACAACCTCCTTAGAGTAGAATAGTAATTAAATACAACCTTCTATTCCTAAACCGATAGCGGGCTAAAATATATAAATTAAAAAGTATAAATAATTTTAAAAATCTTTGTAAATTATACGTAGAATAATTAGGATTATTAATACCCTACTATATAATTAGTAATTAATAGTAGAATTAGTATTACAATTAGGATATTTCCGTTTTTCGTTACCTATAGCTACTACCCGCAATCCCCTATAACTATTATAACCTAACTAATAGAAGCTGAATTTACTAATTTGTAGAAGAGAGTTAAAGGCTTCGTTATACGGTTATAATAAATTATAAATCTTTACTAAATAATAATAGCCGTTTCAGTATAGGATTAAGAGTACTTTATAAATTGTAAGAGGTAATTAGCCGAGGTTTTTAAAGAAGGGGATAAAATATAGTTGCATTTTAAGAATTTTAGAACCGAGCACTTTAAAAAAAAGTTAGATTAGATTTACGCTAAATATATAATCTTAAGAATTCTTAGCCTATACGTTATAGAATTTACTAATTTTACTACTAGGGTCTTTAATAAATTCTATATAGGCCTCCTACAATATATTTAAGACGATTCTTTATTAGAGTAGGTTATTATTAACCCCCAACCCCCAATTATTACGGTCGATAGCGAGAAAGAATATTTTATAGAGGAAATCCTATATTATTAAACGAAAAAAGGGCATAAAAAAGCATTAGTAAAGTGGGTAGGATAGGTAAAATAGATATAGGAACCTTTATAAATAGTAGTTAATATTATAGTATTAGACCGCTTTAAAACTAAATACGGTTTAACTATTATTAACGATAGTCCGGCCGAATATTTTATTATTAAATATAAGAAATAATAGTATTGGCTATAAAAAGGAAGAAAGGGAGCGATATTAATTCTAAGTTTTTTTACTTCTTCAAAATCTTTCTTTTATAATTATTTCCTACTTTTATTATATTTATTTTTACTTCCAAAGCTACTACTGTTACAGGGTTAGCCTATGTGCCTTATACTAGCGTATAGTAGCTTCTAAAACTATTATTACTATTGTTGCTGCCGGTACTATATTACCGGCAATTAATTAGTTAGAACGCTACCTGCTACGGGTCTATAGACCCGCTGGCGGTTACCCTTATAAGGCTAGTCTTCTGGGCACTCGGCTATACACTTCTCTTCCTTTCTCCTTCGTATAATTATGTATAATTATATCTACTATCTACCCTTTGCCTATAATAGTTAATTGTACCTTTCAATTATTGCGTTTATAGTATAAACTTATTTTCTTTTTATTGCGCGATTAATTTTTAGTTAGCGCGCGTACAGGAATCGCCTCGCCTGTCGAATCGTTGAATCTAGTACCCTAAATATTAATAATTATAATTATAATAATTATAGTTTCGTTCCCTTTATTTAGTAAATAAGGGTAGGTACTCTTTATTTAAGGAATAAGAGATTACTTTATACAATTACCTTTCTTATATTTTATACTAAAAGTAGTAATTATATATTCTTTTTTTTACTTAATAGTATTAGTAATTTTATTAATCTCAATACCCCTCCTAAGTGTATATTGTTTAATTTAAACAATATTTATAAAGTATTTAATAAAATTAGTTAGTATTATCAATATTACTATTTATTAAGCCGCGCTTATCGAATTTCTCCTTTTACTAGCGATTAATAATCTCTTTATTAGTATTAATAACGACGAGGAGAAGAAAACTATCTTTTGTGCCTACTTCGATATAATTAATATTTTTGTTTGAAACCCCGCCTTCCATTCAATTATCGCTCCGCTCAGTCGCCTTTATTATAACGACTTCGCTTAGTACGAGGATATTACTATTAACCTTAAATATAGTAAGGATGAATTAAAAACTATTCGTAAAGTGGCTATTAAAGTTTAAAATAATTTTAATTAGAAGAACTTCGACTATTTTAATTTAAAGGCCGAATTTAACAACCTTTAGAAGAAATATAATAACCTTAATATAAACTATATTGCCTTTAAATTTTATAGTATTAATATTTAGTCCTTATTCGATAATTATATTAAAAAAACTAATATTAGTAAAATATTGTTTTTAAAGTAGATTATAGAGAATTTGCCGATTTTTACTAGTAAGGAGAATATTAGTACTACCTATAAATGCAAAATCTTTAAAGTATAGTATTTCTATATTTTATTCTAATAGAAGTACAACCCCATTTTTTATATTAATAAGAATATTAAGATTATTTATACTACTATATTATTAGGTCCTAAAATTTTGTTTAGTATTTAAAATAATTTAAATATTATTTAGAATAGAGGAAATACGGATTCCTAGCGTTGGAAGACCGGTACCGAATTTATAGAGTATTTAGTTATTTACTTCTAAAATATTAATTTAAAAATAAATACCGGCCGTTATTTCGAGGAGTTTTTTATAAACAATATATTTTTTACGGAATTTAAATTAGAATTTACTAACTTTATAAATTTTTATAATTTAAATAATTCTATAAAGGTTTACTATTTATATAATAAAATTAATAAGCACTTTTGTAATACTTTTGTATATTATAACCTTCCTAAGGTTAATAATTTTAAGAAGTAGTTAGCAATTTGCCGTATAATCGCTAATAATTTAAAGGATACCAACTACTATTATAAAATAAATATTTGTATTTTCGGCAATAGTACCTCCGCTAGTATAAGCTCTAATAGTATTAATATTAGTACAGGCGGCGCTTTTAATTCCTATAGTACTAATAATATCCCAGTTAGCTAAAGTAATAATAAAATAGACTTTAATACTATCGACTTTGTTATTTTTATTTATAAAGATATTTTTAACTAGTATACCTATAATAGTAATTATTATTATTACGGAGGCAACGGTTATATTATTCGTAATTATTTTACCTCTATTAATTATAGCGCTTAAGGCCCCTAATATAATAAAGGTAAGAAGAATAAAGGTAAAGGTAGAGGTAGAGATTACTATAATAGGGAGGAAGTTCGTACTATCGAAGTAATATTTATTATTATTATTGCTACTATTATTATTCCCGCTATAGCCCCTATTACTACTACTATTAATAGTAAATATTATAATAAATTGGAAAATATTTAGCCTCTACGCTTAATTGTATATAGAAGCCCTTCCTATTGTTATTATAGAGACGAATTTTGAATTCTTTAAAATTAGAGGGTTTAGAGGAGGTTAGGATATAATCGTTAAATAATTCTACTTCTTTAAATTTAATATTTTTATTTTTTTATATTATAATTAGATTATATAAAAATTATTATATTTCTCTTATTAATATTAGTTACTCTACGTTTACTTTTATTAACCGCTCTTTCGTTATTAAATATAATTTTCTCTATTTCCGCCTCCGCTAGGTAAAGAAGTTCGTTCTAATTAATAGAATAGTTAAAAGTATTATTTCCGAGGGGATAATAATTAAATTCTATATTAGGTACTATAATAAAACGATTACCTTTTTAATCTATAATATCTTTAAGAATTATTCAGTTATTTTAAGCTTCTTATAGATATAATATTATAAATCCGAAATCGATTATAACTATTATAAAATACGCTTTACTAATTCTACTTATAAGGGCCGTTATTTACCTACTAATCTCTTTAGAAATTAATTAGTAGCCCTAAAAGCCTTTACTAACTGAGTTTTAATTACGGCTATCTATAATAGGATTGCCCTAATTCCCCGACTAGCCTTAATTCCTTAATTAGCCCCAACTCCCTAATTAGCCCTAATTTTTTATTTACTCCTAGAGAATAAAGCGGTTCCCCCTACTAAAGTAGCCCCGGCGCCGTTAGAACTAATATTAAGTAATAGAATTATTCGCCCTATTTAAACGGTACTAGCGCCGTCGATTCTTATATTAGGAATTCTCGAGGCCGGTTATTAATTTATTTCCGCTCCTATTAAAGTACTAATAATTAATAGGGCCGGGTTTAAAATTGGTATTATAAGTACGGCCGTACTTTTTATTAGAATTAAGAGCCTAACTTCCTACGGCCTTTATATTTATTTTAATAGCTAGTATATTTCTATAGGTATAAAATACTCTTAAGCCCGCTATTATTATAATTTCGACGGTACTTCTTCTATTAAATTTAGCGATATTAGAGAGTTTAAAATAGCGATTTTTAACTTCATTTACGAATTCTAATAATTATAGCCGTATATTACAAATTATATTAAAATTAAGAAATTAGTTACCGTAGTAGAAGTCTAAGATATAAATTTAATTAAAGAAATAATTATTAATATTTTAGAGGGTTATAGCTAATAATATAAAGAAAGTTTCCTACTACTTCTCTATAAATTTATTAATAGTTTGGCTAGCGTTTATTTATTAGAGGAATTTCGGGAAGCTACGATTTTTACTAGAATAATTTACTTTACTAGAAATTTTAATAAAAATATTCCGTTTTACAAGGAAATAATCCGGTACATATACTTAATTAAAATTTCTAATAGAAACGTAAAGAAGTTCTTCAATAAGGCTAATTATCTAATTAAAATTAAGGATGAGATTATTACTATTTTAAAGGAGTTAGAAGGATAATAGTATATTAATAAGGTAATAGCTTTCTTTCTATTATTAATTAAAGAAATTTCTCCTAACTATTTATACAATTATAAAATCGAATTCTAGTTGGGAGCAACTCTCCCTAATGCGCGACTATGTTGTATGTCCCCAATCGAAGCCGTTATTATTAAGAAATAAATCAACGAAAATTTAAGAAAGAATTTTATCCGCCTATTGCAATCTACGGCCGTATCCCCTATCCTTTTAATAAAAAAGCCCAACAACGGCGTTCGTATTTATATTGACTATTATAATATTAATAATATAATATTGAAAATATATTACCCGCTACTATTAATTAAAGAGACCTTCGATACTATTTACCGTATAAAGATTTTATTAAATTCAATATAATTACTATATTTAATAGGATTTTTATAAAGGAAGGATATAAATAGTTTATTATTTTTATTACCCGTTTTAATCTTTATAAATCTATTATCTATCCGTTCGGCCTCTAAAACACCCTTGGGTCTTTCTAGAATTATATTAATAATATTCTATACAATATTCTTAATATATATATAATAATATACTTCGATAATGTTCTAATCTATTTAAATAATAAAAAAGACTATAAAAATTATATTAGGGAAGTCTTATAACAAATAATTCGAATAGGGCTATAGATCGATATTAATAAGTATAAATTCCATATGATAAGGATAAAATATTTTAATTTAATTATTACCTGGGAGGATTTGAAATAAACCCTAATAAAGTATCCGCTGTTAAAATTTAGGAAGCTTTAAAAACTAAGAGGGCGCTATAGTATTTTTTAAGTTTCGCTGATTTTTACCGATAATTTATTAAATACTTCTTAATTATCGCTAGTCTATTATACAAATTAATAAAGAAGTTATTAGAATAATAGTAGATTAACTACTACTTAAAGTTATTTAAAGCTTTTAAGAAAGTTTTTAATAGTAGTCTAGTACTTCGGATTTATAATTAGTCTAAATAGACTATTATTAAGACGGATACCTCAAATTGAGCGTAAAGTAATATTTTATCCTAATATAATAAGGAGGGTATTTTATACCCAATTGCCTACTTTAATTAATAATATTTCTCGGTAGAATATAATTATAATATTTATAATAAAAAATTATTAATCATTATTAAAGCCCTTAAGAAGTAGCGACCCGAATTGGAGGGAGTTTAAAAACCTTTTAAAATTCTTACTAATTATAAGAATTTAAAGACTTTTATAATTAATAAGTAATTTACCCCCCGCTATATACAATAGTCCTAATTTCTTTTCCGTTTTAATTTTATAATTAAGTACTACCCTAAATCCTTATAAATACGCCCCAACGCATTAAATAGAAAGCCGAAAGATTTACCTAAAAACGAAATTAATAAGCAATTACTAATTAGAAATAAAGTTTTATTTAATTAAAATATTTTTATTAACGGAGCCTTCGTTCTAAAAACTAGAGGTAAGGAGGAAATTCTTATCGGTATTAAGTATATTTACGAATTAAAGATTTTGGACGAGAGGTTAATAGATAATTTGGTAGTAAAAGGCTATAAGAAGTCGATAATTTTCTAAGACGTTATCGCCTATCTATCGGACCCTAATTATCGAATATAATTTAAAGAAATTAAAAACTATATAAAGAAGGTCCCCTTTACTAAATATCGAACGATTTAGAGATAAATATACTTCTATAGCACTATCCTTATTAATCCTACTAATATAGAACTTTACCTCTCACTCTTCCGCTATATTTATAACTTGCTATTTATTAAGTACCTGTATTGCGAAAAGACATATTTATTACTATCGCAATCTTTCTTTTAACTAGGAATATATATTATTATAAAATAATATTATAAAGTTTATTTAGTATGTATTAAATTAAAGCCATTGCGATACGCCCCCTATAGTTTTTTAAAATTGCTAGTAGTATTATTCGTACTTAAGAAGGATATTTTAATTAATTATATTACTCCGTTTATACCCTATTTACACTATAGGTAGGAATTTAAATATATTACTATTATTATTAATTACCTTATGAAAATAAAATATTATATCCCTACTATCGGTTTAACGGTAAAAGAATTGGCGGAGCGCTTTATTAAGAGAATTTATAATATTTATAATTTATCAAACTCTATTGTCTTTAACCGTAGTACTTAATTTATTTTATAATTCTAGAGGGCCTTATTATTATAGTTGGAAATTGCCCTTAAACCTTCCTCCGCTTTTTACTCCGCTATTAACGGTTAAATTAAATATATTAATATAGAGATAGAGAAATATTTTTGCTTCTATATTAATTAGGCCTAGGATAAATAAGTAAATTAATTACTAATTGTAGAATTTACTAATAATAATTTAATCTCTAAGACTATTGGCGTCTCTCTTTTCTTTACTAATTATATTTTTTACTCCTATATAGGTATTAAACCGGCGAAGCTATATTTACTAGAAATATCGGTAGTATAATAAGCAAAGTATTTTAAAGTTAATAAATTAATTAATTAATTTAAATAAATTTTAAACTTTATAATAAATTAAATTTAATAAATATAATAACGTTATAAAGATAATACGAACGCCTATTAATTGGATGTATTGAAATATAAGGAGGGAGATAAAATCCTTTTTAATATTAAGAACTTTAATACCGGCCGGCCCTATACTAAATTTATACCCCTCTTCGAAGGCCCTTTCGAAATCCTTAAAGCAAATAATTATTAAATAATATTTAAATTCCTAATTAATATAAAATATAATCTAACGTTCTATATTAATAAAGTTAAGCTATAGGATAAGGAAGGTTTTTTAGAATAAATAATTATAGAGGAATAAAACGTTTGTACTAACTATAGCCGGACTATAAGGAGGACTGATAATAAGGAGAATTCTATCGAATATAAATTCGAAAAAATCGATAACTACCGAAAGAATAATAAGGGTCGTTAAGAGTATTTTATAGCCTAGGTATTTCTATATACGCTGTTATAGTAACTGTACACCAATATATCTATAGCCTCCGATATAGTCCGGGCTTTCTACGATAGTTACCCTAAAATGCTGTACCTTCCAGATTGGGCGGCGGCGGAAAAGAGGTAAAGGGAGAAGGAAGTAGAGCGAAAAATTTTAATTTTATAGTAGAAGTTATAATAATACCCGCTAGTAGTAGTAGTAAAGGCTTTTTAAGAGTAAACTGTTCGTTTAATAGGGATTTCTATTATTTTATATAATATTAATCAATTATATAGCTTCTTTTAGTCCGCGGAAGTATTATAGGGTTAGCTTATATACTTTATACTAGTATATAGTAGCTTCTAAGACTACTATCGCTATTATCGCTACCGGTACTATATTGCCAGCAATTAATTAGTTAGAGCGCTGCCTGCTGCGGGTCCGTAGACCCGCTGGCGGTCACTTTTATAAAGCTAGTCTTCTAGGTATTCGGCTATATACTTCTCTTCCTTTCTCCTTCGTACAATTACGTATAATCACATCTACTATCTACCCTTTGCCCGTGATAACTACCCGATTTTAAATTACTTTTAATTTATAACAAGGGGGTACTATTAATAGAGGGGAGGGGGGGAAGGGGGACGCCGCCTCGGTATAGTATAAATATTTACAATTAATAAAATAAAATAAAAAGAAATTAATATTAAAGTTTTAGAGTAGGTAGAGAAATAGGAAGAAGGGGGTAGGAATAATATACCGGTTAATAAATCCCTTCTTATATAATTTAGTAGTATTCCTTTAAATATTTATACATTAGTTAAGGTTCTTCTTTATTATTACTTTAGCTATAGCGCCGGTTACTACCTTCTAAATAGTAGTCGTACGTAGGGTTATAAGTAATACCCGGTCGTACTACTTACTATTATTATAATAATTAGTATATATAGTACAATTAAGTATTATAAAATGAATTTACTTTATATTTAAGTAAATACTATAAGGTATAGTAGATTCCTTGTACTCCGACTATAGTAAAAAGGTTAGTAATAAAATAATATTAAAGGAGAGACTTTAAGAGAGCGGAATATAAAAAAAAAAAANAAAAAAAAGTAGAAATTTACTTCGACCTAGTATTTTTTTATTAGGCGCGAGTTTAAAGGAGTTGTAGTAGTAATAACCGCCGGGCGGCGGGGGTTAGAAGTAGTAGCTGGAGGAGAGGGATGCGCTGGGATTTATAGAGGGGGAGTTAGGGGGGTTAGCGCTAGTAGAGAGGAGTTTTAGGGGGAGGGCCGGAGGGCGAAACGCTAAGGCGGCCGGAGGCGGAGGTTAGTAGACTACTTTTAATAATATAAAGGGTTTAGGGGCCGGAGCCCGGGGGTAAAGCTGAATTAACGGAAGGGGATAGTATATAGTAGGGTATTTAAGAATATTAAGAGAATTAGAGGAAATAGGCTAGTATTAAATAGAAAAAGGAATAATACTATTTACTTTAAAGGATTAAGCCGCTACTAGAAAAAAGAAGAGGAGAGGGAGAAGTTTGAGAGGCGAGGGGGAGGGGGATTATATATATAAATTTAAAGAATGTAAGCGCTAGGGCTACTACTTACTATTTATTACTACCTACTATTAACTACCGTCTAGTATCATAATTACTATATTAGATAGAAGGTATAAGTATATTAGTTAGTAGTATAGGAAATGAATTTATAATTGAAATAGAAGTTGCAAATACGTTAGGGACTAATTGTAAGGGTAGGTAGGAGAGAGGTAGAAAAGGGGGGGGAGGAGGGGGGTAATATTATAGAGCTAGCGCCCGGGTTATAAACTTTAGTCTTTAAGACTAGAGCTATTATTAATTATAATAGCGTAGAGCGCGTAGCCTTAATAAAAACCTCTTAGCGCTAGTAGATTCGCATTTTAAATAGACTTTTCCTCCTTTATAAAACCTTAATTAAGCTATACGACTAGCACCCGTATTAACCGTACTGTCCCCGTTACAATTATACTAACTAAACCCGTAATAAATTTTTACTTACTTCTTATAAATGCGAATTAAATTCGAGGGATAGCGCCGCCGTCTACGGGCGGGTATTAATTATTATAATAATAATTATTGCGACGTAGTATATTGAGAAACTTACGACTTTTATAAAATTCCGGTTCGAATAATTATAAATTAATAGAATAATTGTAATGTAATTTTATTAAGGGCGACGAGAGAGGGGAGGGCGCTATAGCTAGCAATAGAGAAAAAATTGTACTAATCTTTCTAATTTATTTATATTTGAGAGAAGGCGCTAATTACTATATTTTAGTTTTATTATTAGTCGCGGGCTCTCTTTATCGAATTATACCCCGAAATACCAAACTCATTCAAATTCTTATGCAATTAATTTAAGAACTTTCTTAAGTA